TATCAACAATATAGCTTATAACCATAGCCTGTATAAAAAAGTGGACTAAGTGAGTGTGACGTAGTGTTTGGTTTGACTCAAATGAAGCTCGTTGTTACAGAGGCTAATTTGGAGCCAGGTTCTATGTTATGAATAGGATTTTTTAAAATTTTAAAATAGCTAAATAAAAACACCAGGATCATGTAAAGCAGGTTAATACGAACATTTTAAGACCGAAATGATGAGGCTCGCAGCAGCAGTTGCAGAGAGAGGGGCAAAAATATTCTGATGTAAGTCAATGGGAGCCAGGGTCAGTAGCCGGAAGAGCCTGCATGCAAACTTCCAAATAAATAAAGACATAACCAAATAAAGAAACTCAAATCACACCCTAAATGAAGCTTTTGCACATGAAGCTTTTGTACAGAAAATTCTATTTGTGCAGAGAGTAACTTGTTTTGTAGGTCAGTGGTCAGTAAAGTCTAATATTTATACCTGACACTGCAATAAGAACATCAAAGGTGCTTAGTGTACATGACATATGCTCGTTATGTTATCTCAGAACACAGCGTAGAACGAGGTTTTGTCTGTACGCATAATATTATCATTTTTGTAATCATAAATAAACACAACTTGACACATGAATGATGGATGCGTGCTCTATTTACAATACAAGACGTATGGCCCACGTACGCAGACTAGAGACAGTCTCACAAAGCAAAGTTAAATAGGTATATGGCTCAACATGTAGATAGGATTGTAGAATGAGGAAACCTATTGACTTTATACAGGCTGATGTGGGCAAAGGTCCTGCTCTGGGTGACTGGGCTCAGAGAGGAGTGATCACTGGTCATTAGTCACAGTAAAATCGAATAAAAATACACTTTAAAGGCACATTGTGTAACTTTTCTGGTGCTTTTCTCCATAGAGATGTTATTTCTTTGTCTGGAATGTTTCACAGTATGGCATTAAACCTTTCGATCTTCATGGAGACCAAACTAGACCAAGTTACAGGTCAGATCTGTGGAGAGGCAACCCCGCTCACAGTCAGATTCTAGGTATTTTCTTGGTGCTTTTGAGTAATAAAACCACTTGCAGTTTAATAAATGTAAAGTACAGCTGTTTAATGCCATATTGTGGAATATTCCAGGCAGAGCAATGACAATCCATAGAAAAAAGCAAGTGACGGACCCCTAATCAAAAGTTACATAGTGCACCTTTAATATAATGTAATGTAATGTTCCTTAACTGTGAGATCCTTGTATGGGGCTAAGGAAAGATTACACCGCAAACTGTCTTTTTTATTTTTTCCCCAAACCTAAAAAAAAGTCAAAAGAATAATAGTTGACAGATTTAGTTACATTTAATTTGAAATGAAAGAGAGGAGCATGAAAGAGAGAGAGGGAGAGTAGAGAGATAAAGAAAAAAGAGAGACAAACAGAGAAAGAGTCTGGGGAAAAAGATAAACAAAGCCAGCCTGAACTACAACTCAGATTTGGTGGTCACCCATTTGCTTTACAGTAACTTACATTGCTGGTACATACATTTAATTTCAGCCTATATACTAATAATTTTGACCCTATAGGTAGGTTTATCAGTCTATAATACAGGCTTATTAAAATATATTCCAAAAAATGTGCAATTTCTCTCTAGTGTTCTCAGATCTTGCACCAGGATTTGGGATAACAACTAAAACCAACAACTATTAAGCACAAGTATAGAAGTTTAAAGGTCCTATATTGCACAAAATTGACTCTTGTGAGCTTTAAGCCATGTTATAATGTTGTTACCTCCTCATAACCATAACTGGAGTTGCATTTTGTTTCATTCACACACACACGTTAGTCTGTCCATATCTCAAAAAGCTCAAAATGCTCTGTTCCACTTTGTGATGCCATGACTCCTGTAGTGGTAGGTTTCAAGTAACTACTACCTTTTACCTTTTGTTCAGTAGAGATTGGAAATTCTAGGGCTGAAATGATCCAAATGATTCTAGGGAAGGTCTATGGAGTTTAAAAACATGCTGGAGCACTTCTTGTATTACCCCATAACACGTTTTGCAGGTTTTGTGTGTTAAATGTGGGTGAAATTAGCAAAACAAAACTCCAGGCATGTTTTAAATTAGGAAACATAATAATATAGATCAAAAAATAGCATAAGCTGGGCCCTTTAATTAGTAGAAACAGAAATAACGTGTAATAGACAATTATTACGCTATACATTACATTAACTTTTAGTCTCACAGTGAAGTTTACATATGGCAATAGTCTATAGACCTGTAAAAAAGTGTATGTGAATCTTTTAGTTTTTATGTTGTCTTATTTGACCAGATGTTCAGACTGACCCTGTGCCTTTAAGAGAGTACGCCTTCCAGGTTTACCTATCTGTGTACTCGTGAAGTGACTCTGCAAACAGCTGTGTTTACGTGTGTGTCGTAGCCTTCCAGGGAACACTAAAACTACCACAGAGGAATTTGGATAAACTGTACTTCAATTCAATTCATTCCAGGCTGAGATTCAATTTGAAACCAACCTCTGACTCACTACTGTACTTGGTAGAGAAAGAGGGGATTTAGGGTAAGATGTAAAAATTGATGAGGTAAAAAAACAACAACAAAAACTAAACAAAACTGTAGTCAGTGCTGGGAAGGTTACTTTTAAAATGTATTCCCCTACAGATTACAGATTACATATCCTAAAATGTTGTTTGTAACGGAATCCATTAAATTACTTGAGGTGAGTAACGTAATCTGGATACTCTGGATAACTTGATTTGCTGTAGAGAAGCAAAGACGAGGAAATCGTAACATAAGATGTTTTGTTGCTAAAAGAAAATAAAAAGCCCAGACTTTACTTAACCAAATTTAAAATATTACTGATAGAAGAGGAGGAGACAGGGTCCGTGCAGCATGATTTAGTCCTGTTAAATCCTGTTTTAGTCCTGTTTAAGACCTGTTTTTAGACCTGTTTTAGACCTAGTTTAGACCTAGTTTAGACCTGGTTTTAGACCTGGTTTTAGACCTGGTTTTAGACCTGGTTTAGTGTCCGACCGAATGGAATTACCAAAAAAAAAAAAAAAAGAAAAAAAAAAAGGGATATAGCCCAAAATGTGAAATGGGAAAACAGGAAAATACCACCGTGTAATCCATTTATTTCCACAAAGTAACTCTAATCCAATTACCACTCATTGAAACAGTAACTGTAACCGAATACAGTTACTCATAATTTGTACTCTGATTACGTAACTCCGGTACATGTAATCTGTTACTCCCCAACAGTGACTATAGTACACCACGGTCAAATGCAGGTCATTTTGTCCAGCTGAACTTTATGCATGTTCGGTCTGAATAAATCATTTATAACAAAGTGGGTAATGGTGTACAACATGTAGCCTATGTAAAATATGTGACACTTAAAGGTGCATTGTGTAACTTTTCTGGTAGAGGGTCCGTCAAATGCTTTTCTCCATGGAGAGTTTATTGCTTTGTCGGAAATGTTTCACAGTGTGGCTTTAGACCTGTCTATCATCATTTTTCTCCTTCCTATGACCTCTTGTATATAGCTGAGATTTTTTATTACTTATTTTTCTATTTTATTTTGACTTGTGCACATACATTTATATACTTAGACCTTATTGGACACTCAGTCATCATTTAGAATTGATTTTTACTCTTTGTTATTATAATATATTGTGATGTGTGAGCTACTGTCTCCAAATAATTTCCCTTGTGGATCAATAAAGTTTGTCTATAGTCTAAGCCTAAGTCAAATGAAGACCAAACCAGGTCAATTTACTGGTCAGATCTCTGGAGAGGCAACCCTGCTCTGTTTCTGTTTTTCTAGGTATTTTTGAGCTATAAAACCACTTGTAATTGAATAAATGTAAGGTAGATCTATTTAATGTCATATTTGGAACATTTGAAGCAAAGTAACGACATAAACATAGATAGACAAGGTGATGGACCCCAACAGAAAAGATAAACAATGCACATTTAATCCAAAAAACTCTTTTTATGCTTATGTTATTCTAAATACACACTAAAGCATATTGTAGACACCAGGTAGTCTACTAATAATAACAGATATATACACTACTGGTCAAAAGTTTTAGAACACCCTAATTTTTCCAGTTATTAATTGCAATTCAAGTCCAATAAAGAGCTTGAAATGGCCTACAAAGGAAAGCATTGAACATCCAGAGGTTTAAAAAAAGATAAAAGATAACAAAACACAAGTCCAAGCTCTGCCAAAACTACCTCAGGAAAAACTAACAAGATGGTAAAGCTTGAAACCATGTAGTGTCTAGCAGTCTCCAGACTTAAACCCCGTCGAGCTGGTTTTGGGACGAACTGGACAGAAGAGTGAAAGCCAAGAAACCTACAAGTGTCACACATTTATGGGAACTTCTGCAACAGACTTGGGAAGAACTTTCTGGAGAATATTTGATTTCTATTGTAAAAAGAACGAGTCATGAATGTATTCAGCTGTTATATCTGCCAAAGGTGGACACTTTCATGAACCAAAAGTTTAGCAGAGCAATGGCATCTCCATAGAAACAAGGAGTTGACAGACACAAAATAAAGTGTGTATTAGGCTACGTTTATACGTTTTAGTCAACAGTAAACAGTAAAAAATGGAAAAAGTGTAGTGTTCTAAAACTTTTGACTGGTAGTGTAAGTCTGGAGAGAGATGATATCAAGACCAGCATAGGACAATTACTGAAAAAGTTAAGGTTTTGCATGTTGTAATGACCCCAAGTGACAGAATTCAGGTTTGGGGGTCTGCGTGTCCAATTTCCACTAACTTGCCATTCCTACGCCAGCAGCCCACGGTCTCTAGCCATTTCCACGCGTAAACTTGCCTAGTTGATGTTTTGGAAGTATTAAACATAACCAAAACCTACTGGCGTAAAGGTAAGACGGTTCCTTAGCTTTAGGATTTACCACTTTTTCACACAGAGCTGAGTTTGTCTTGTTAATGACTTCAAACGTGGCCACATAAATCTCGGCGTGTCGCAGTGTTTACCTTGGAGCTGCGCGGACAGTGACTCCTGGTGCTGCTGATACTTGAGCGCCATGGCCTCGGTCCTCTTGAGCTGTTTGTGCATCTCGTATGAAATCAGGGCGCCGTACATCATGCCACACACCACGGTCAGCAGGAGCAGGCACTGGAAGATCCTCCGCTGCCTCCGGGAGCACACCCCGTTGCCCATGTTGGACCCCCACCCTTCCCCTCCGCCGTCTGCGCCTTTCAGCCCCGTCTCTGCTGCTGCTCCTCAGAAACTTCCCTCGCAACTTTTTCCACGCACGCACGGACAAGCCTGAGGAGACCGCTATCCTCTTTCCCCGGGCATTCCCGCGGTCAAACTTGCAATAAAGTCAGTCACATGCAGTGGTTTACATTATTTATGCATACATGGCTCTCTCACGACTTGCAGAATGACTTCAAAGTATCCGCTCAGGTTTTCGCCAACTTCTTCACGTTGAAAACCCACTTCTGACTGACTACAGACCGCACACAGGATGCGCGCACCGCTTCCGCCGCCCTCGTTTCGTGTTGTCGGATTTTTCCCCTTCTCAGACAATAGGTCAAACGCGTAGAAAAGTCAATGTTGAAGTCGTAGCCGAGGCCTTCGCAGCACCTTTAACTTTAGTTACGTGTCAGCCCAGCAGCTGCCTGCCATCCAACTGCAGCGCGAGAGGAAGTTCCTCCCTGGTCCGCGCTGGTCCCACCCATGCAGCCATGCGCCTCAGCCACTGGTGGGCAGAGCGCTCCATCAAACCAGGCCACACACGTAAAGGTGGAGAACAATGAGTATTATCATGTTATACGCACCAATATTCTCCTGAGATTTGTGTCCTTTATAGTGGACATTGAGTTAATCGGTCTGTCTTTTAAGTTTTTCAATTCAATCTTAATAAGAACACGCAATATCTGGTTCATGGTATAAATAGTAAGAATAAAAAAATTAAAAACAGTGCATGTTGTTATGTAAACAGACAAGAGCACCAGTGTCTCCACAGGTTAGAGGTGAATCTGACAGAGCTCCTCACAGGACAAACTAGAGCTTGAATGATTTGATTGCTCAGATTCATGGCTCTACATATAAATGAATAAATACAACATCTGATCGTGACAACACAGGGGCTCACACCACAAATTACAAACATTTCAGTGGCGCTACAGAACCTCACCTTTCAGTAATGTAATAATATGTAATAATAATATAAGTGTTTAGAGATAGACTATTAATGTGGGGGACTACTTTCCTCTGCCTAAATTATAAGAATTATAGGGTGTATACCATTGTTCAAGATACAAAATTAACTCAATAATACTTAATTTGTGGCTGCACTATGATAAGAAAAAACTAATTAAGAAGTTAAAGGGGAGTCTAAAAACATTTTGAGGCAACTGTAGAAGCTCGTGAGAGATGTTGGTCATCAATACAGTAGTTTTAGTTAGGTTGTTAACTTCACATGGATTTAACACCAAAATGTCCCTGGCGTTCTTTACATGTTACAAAATTATAAATAAAAATGAAATGAACAATGCTAAATGTTAAGGTGTTCATTTACCTCCACAAAATATATATATTGCAATACACTTTTTTCTTTGGGTCTCACGAGGATATACAATATGTAGAGCCATGTTATTTCTAGATAAATATTGCAATTTGTAAGCTGACATAACATTTCCTGCATCAAAATAATTAATTATAAAAACAAAAAATACTTCTCTGCAGATGATTTGTAGTTTTATGTTTTCCATTTTCTATGTCTGTTGTCTTATTTAAAGATATGGCTCACTGACTAAAGAACATAACATTCGAATAAGATTAAAGATTTTTATTATGCATAAACCAGCGGTCAAAAGTTTTAGAACATACTTATTTTTCCAGTTATTTATTGCAATTCAAGTCGTGCAATGTCCAATAAAGAGCTTGAAATGGTACAAAGGTAAGTATTGAACAGCCAGAGGTAAAAAAAAAAAGATAAAAGATAACAAAACACAAGTCCAAGTTCTGTCAAAACTACCTCAGGAAAAAAGGAACAAGATAGTAAGCTTGAAAACATGAAGTGTCCAGCAGGGTCTTAAAACCTTTCCAACTTCGCAGACTTAAAACCCATCGAGCTGGTTTGGGATGAACTGGACAGAAGACTAAAAGCCAAACAACTTACAAGTGCCACACATTTATGGGAACTTCTGCAACTGGCTGAGGAAGAACTTTCTGAAGAATATTTGATTTCTATTGTAAAAAGAACAAGTCACGAGTGTGTTCAGCTGTTATATCTGCCAAAGGTGGACACTTTCATGAATCGAAAGTTTAGATACATTTCGGTCAAGAGTTAAAAAAAAAAATAATGGAAAAAGTGTGGTGTTCTAAAACTTTTGACCAGTAGTGTACTTCGCTCACTATTAAAACAAAATACCATCAAAACTCAATATAAAAGGAAGACTCTATGACAGCACATAAGTCAATTTATTAACAACACATTAGGCAAGTATACAAGTATAAATGAGCAGATTAACATTGCATTTAGTTTGTGCAATTAGCATTTACATGTACAAATGTCTCTCACTAATAAACAGTTTAGGTGGAGAAATCCGCAATAGCAAAAATAGGCCTATATATTAAAAAATTTTTGATTATGCTAATGCAACCCAAACCATAACAGAAATAGAGGGTTAAAACATTTATAAAATAGTTACGACATATAGGCATACATATAAACATGGCAGTAATGCACCCCAAATGAGTTAATTTACTGGCTTAAGTATAGTGCTACCCTGTTATTTTACCGTACTTTTCTGTCAGATCTAACAGAAGACAGACTCAAAGTTCTTGTCATGGTTAATTAAAAAAAAAAAAAAAAAGCTATCTTCTAAACTTACCAACCACTTAAAGGTGCACTATGTAACTTATCTGGTACAAGTCCATCACATGGTTGAGTGCCTGCAGAAATGCTAGGGACTTTGCTTTCCATGAAATAAACCAATGTATGGAATTAAACATGCTTATTATTTAATTAGAGGTGTTTTGCTTTTTGTTTTTTTACAGTAAAACAATACCTTGAATAATATGCATCTCCACAAATCTGACCTGTAAACTGTCATAGTGCAAGTTTAATATCATAGTGAGAACATTTCTAGGCAAAGCAACAGCGTCTTCATGGTGGCAGACCCTCCACCCAGAAAGTTACACAATGCATCTTTTAATTATTTCCAGTTTCAGGATGAACTGCTTCAGCTGCCCATAAACGTCTCTTCAATTTTTCTCAAGTTATAGGACGATTATTTGGTGCTAGATACCCTCAGTGGTGCGCTTTGATTTTGAAGGCGCATTGTGTAACTTTTCTGGAGGGTGGAGGGTCCGTCAAATGTTGTTGCTTTGTCTGGAATGTTTCACAGTATTTCTACCTCCATGAAGACCAAACTAGATCAAGTTACAGGTCAGATCTGTGGAGAGGCAATCCTGCTCACAGAATACCTGTTTGTCTAAGTATTTTGAGCTATAAATCCAGCTGTAATTTAATAAATGTAAGGTGGAGCTGTTTAATGTCATACTGTGGAACATTCCAGGCAGCAGTCCAAGCATTTCACAGACACTCCTCCAGAAAAATTACACAATGCACCTTTAAACATACTACTTCAACTGAACAGGGGAGGGCACAATAAAAATAATGCTAATTCTAGTAAAAAGGGAGACAGAAAATGTATGTTTTACATTTTCTATAATCATAATAATTACCAACTAACATGCAGAAAAACTACTCTTATCCAGGAAGTTCTCTCCTATATCACAGAGGTAGACACTTGAAGAGTGTAAAAAATGAAATGGGTACACATTAAGAAGTAGTCCTCTAAGTCGTCATTAAATAAATAGCTTTGTCTAAAAATGTTAAACTTCAGGGGGAAAAATAAATAAAAACTAATAAAACAGATTAAGGTAAACACTAGAATTATACGCATTTAAATTAATATGCAAATAAAATGTAAAAGCTTGAATTTATGACACCAAGATAAAATATGGCACTGAATAATAATACATGTATTCAATTTCAAAACTGTTATTAAGAGCATTTTTCAGTTTTAAAAGGCACGAAAACATCTAAAAGATAGTCGAAGCCAAGAGAAATTGCTATTTACAGTACAGTATTTACACTACTTGGCACTAAAAATAATTAAATTAGCCAAAACAAACCAGACAGTCTTCTTTCTTAAAACTCCTCTGCTCTACAACCTATCCAAACATCTGGAATACAGCTTTTTGCTCTGTGTTTGTGTGACAGGGCCAAACGGCGAATAAGATTACGATAATTCAACGTAAAACTAAACTAAAAGAGCTCTATGGGGTAATAAACCTTGCCAGGATTGAAGAGTGAGATTACAACACGGTGAGTTTATGTGTGTTGTGCTATAAGACTGACTGCTCCTCGTCCTCGCAGAGAAGAGGCTCCACTTCTGTAGTGCTTGGCAACGCAACGCTTTTTGGTGTCCTGTTGTTTCTGTATAAGATGAATTGTGCTGTGACCTGTAATGGATAAGGTTAAGGAAAACAAATGTATAAATCTAGTAGGAAATCTAGTATGAATGTTTTTGTAATGGCCACTTTCAGCAGGGCAGTAGACACAGGAGGACAAAGGGGTCTGCTGTCCAGGGCCCCAAGGTCTCAGGGGCCCAAAACTGGAACCTCAGCCTATTAATTAATATTAGAGAGGGGCCTATGTGAGGCTTCTTGCCCCAGACCCCAAATTTCTGTCAACGGGCCTGACCTCCAGTATAGGGAAGATTGTATGTATTTTTTGCAAGATTTTGTATTTTTTGCTTTATCTGTGAGTTTTTAAAGGTTCCATGTTACACAAAATTGATTCGTGTGAGATTTAAGCTATGTTATAATGTTACTTCATCAAAAACTTACCTGGAGCTGTGTTTTGTTTCATTCACACATGTTTGAGTAACCCTGTATTATTAGTCTGTCTACATCTCCAAACCTCAAAATGCTCTGTTCCACCTTGTGATGTCATGAAGCTTTAATTTTCAAGTTAATAGCTACATTTTACTTTTAGTTTAGTAGAAATAGACAACTCCAGGGCTGAAATTATCCAAATGATTCCAGTGAAGGTGTGTGGAGTTTAAAAACACAATGGAGCACTTCCTTTATTGCCACATGACATCATATGGTGGAACAGAGTGTTTTCTGTTTGAAAGAAGAACTCAGCTTTATTAAATATGCGGGGTTTGTGTGTTAAACATGTGTGAATGAAACTAAACAGAAGTCCAGATACGTTTTTGATGGGGCCCTTTAAGGCTGTATTCACATTTGTTTTGTTTTGGCCTTGGTCTGGTGATTTGGTAGTGATATAGACCTGGTTTGGTCATCTTCTAGTCCTAGTTTAGTCCTGGTCTAGTCCCATTCCCAGTGTAAAAGCAGCCTAAAATAAATCAATATCCTAAATCTGTATACTAGTATTTTCACAGTTTTGACATTATGGTGAATATGAAGTTCAAGAGACTGACAACCATAAGATTCTGGAGGTTAATTTTTCCATTTTTCTTCCAATAGACCTTCAGAATATATACATAAATAAATTTATAGGTTTGAAGGTTTGCAGGCTAATCAACTATTTGGTAACTAATGACCACAAGACCTATAATAGATAACAATGATTCTTTAATGCAAAGTTATTAAAATGTTCTGCTGAATTGTACAATTTAAAGTGTTTTTAGTTAGCCTCTGTTGAGTATTTAAGCTTTTATGGGAAATTTTCTACTAGAACCTTTGGCAGGCTTCAAAGTGGGTTGGACTATGGACTATGGAGCTTTATTTATTTATTTAGCTTTTTATTTACACCATAATCAGTGGTGTATATAAAGATAACAACACAGCCTCTACATCATCTGATGAGGAATAATAAGATAACACAATCATAAGATCTGTTCATCAAAAACACCCAGTGACATGTATCAGTTAATTAGTAACTCCTGTATTTAGAAGACAAACTATAATGAAGTCTTTTTACTCCCTGGAAATGTGTGAATTAAAAACCTTTGACAGAACTGACAGAATTAATTTGTCTTTGGGCCCGGTCAAGCAGAAGTAAACAGCAAGGCCAAAAATTCAAGTTAATGCATCTGATATAAAAATGTATTCAACAGATACATATGTACTCTAGTTTATGAAACTGTTTACCTTTTTTCTGTACCATTTTTGGTTCTAAAGTTACATATGTTTTAAACAGACCATGTATGAAACATGGAACAAAAATTATTTCCCAAATTTCAAAGACCTGCAAATCATGTAAATAAATGGATGTATTTCATCTTATCTTGTGTTATTCAATCTTTGAACTGTTGATGAAGGTACATGATTTAAAAAAAAAATATTTAAAATGATAAAAATTTGCTTGGAAGGACTGATATATTTTATATAAATAGTTACCTTTCATTTTGAAGTAATATTAAAGTATTTGGAAGAAAAAAGCTGACAAATTATGCAAAATCATGCACCTTCTACTTGCTTGCACAATTTTCCCTCCGTTACCATGACCTTTCTTAATAAAAAATCTCATTACTCAAAAAGTAAGAGGTTTTTCAACCTAATCTTGTACCATATGGTAGAAAACTATATTAATATTCATTAATAATAAACCAGTTTGTTAAGGATATGTAAGTGAGAACCGGTAATTATCGCTGTTTGTATTTATTGCCCAAAAAGTGCTGCATATTTCATTCCCTCCGTTACAGACATGAGTTTTTAAATTTTTTGTCAACAACTTGAAAGAATATCGCAGGGTTAACTTTACCCTGTTGGAGTGTTAACTCTTTCCTACATTCTAATACTTTACTTATTTCAATAGTCCCTCTAGTTTCTGAATAAGAGCTATTTGAATGTAAAAAATCTGCTCCGGTTTCCCTCCGTTACCGCTTGACCGGACCCCTTTGTCAAAGCACAATCAATTTAACTGAATAACTCTTTCACTCTTTAAAGGTGCACTATTTAACTTTTCGGTTCCATGAAGAAAAGAATTTGAAGAAAAGAATCTGATGGACACAATGCACCTTTAACATTTTCCTAATTTTCCATGACCTGCATAGGTGTGAACAGTGTGAAAGAAATCTGATTACTGACATCAGATACTGTCAACAGGATATTCCAATTATCAGATAACTCCAGAAAGCATACTGATAAGAGTTCTATTGTGTATGTAAACATAGCCAGTGATTTTTGAAGGATACAAAGAAGTCGAGGATGAGGACCCCCATGCTGCCGATGAGCCAGGCCAGATGGTTTATGATGAAGGCTTGTTTGGAGCCCCTCAGAGCAGGAAGGACGAGCATCACACTCAGCCCATACGTCCCATTGCCCATCATGGCAAGGATAAACAAGAGGTAAGAAGTGCCCTCTGTGGACTGTCGCTGGAACTACAACGAAAAAAACAAAAGACAAAAAAAACAAACAAACAGTAAGATACGCACTACCAGTCAAAAGTTTGGACACACCCTCTCAGTCAATGTTTCTTTTTATTTCTTTTTACTATTTTTATTTTATTTACATAAAGTAGACATCAAATATATGAAGTAAGATATATGGAATTATGTAGCAAAGAAAAAAAAAATCAAAAATTCAACTCAAATAGCCAACTCTTTGCTTTGTCGAAAAATATTTAGTAGAGTTTTATAACTTTTTCTTTACTACATAATTCCATATATCTTGCTTCATATATTTGATCTCTTCCATATGTATCTCTAATGTAGAAAGTAGTAAAAAATAGAGAAAAAAATAAACTTGAATGAAAAATAAAGTACAACATTATAATTTTTTTTTGCTAAATAATAGGTTATAGCTTCTCATTATTGACTATAACAAATTGAAATTCAAATTCATACAAATTACGTTGATATTTCAGCATTACATTTTTATAAAGCTGAGGAAACCGGGACAAGAGGTAGAATATTGTTGCAATATATCCACATACGAATCCGGCTAACTTCATGGATTTCCTGTTGATACCAGGACCCTGCAGAACACAGATAAGAAAATTACATGAGGCTGCATTTGAGTAGAACTGTGCATATTAATCTACTGACCTGAGTAGTTGTAGTACTATTTATAATTATTTTGGGCAAAGAGAGAAGGAGTAATGTCCCAACACCACACCACATGAAGCAAAGCCACTTCAACAATGGGTTTTCTAAGAACAAAAAGAAACAAAAACGTTAAAGGAGCACTATATAACTTATCTGTAGAAGTGACTGTCTCCAGTTTTGTGCTTCACTTGTTTTTTATGTTTGCTTTGACACAAACGGACCGCAAAAACAAAACAGAAAAAAACAAACAGTAAATTTGGGAGACGGATATGGTTCCAGGCCTACACATCTTTATACAGTTTTGCTAAAATGTGTGGTTATGACTGACCAGGTTAAAAATATTCCACATATGGTGTTAAACTCATCTGATGTAGCTGTTTTTATCTATATGGGATCTAAATAAAAAAGATAAACTAATGATCTATCTTTACAGAGACAAGGAAGTAATGCGACCAACTCAAGTTTCAGATCTGTGGAGAGGCGACCTCACTCACAGTAAGAATGCAAAATATATGACATATAAGACAAAAGTTAACCCTTTTAACAAAAGAACATGAATTATATAGCTAAAACAGTTTTTTTGTACTCGTCAACAACTTACTTTTGCTTGAGCTGTTTTTAATTTTATAATATATAAACTGTGAGATGAGGATCAGGTCTGTGAAGATGTAGAAAATTACTGCAACTACCTACAGAAACATTACAGGAAATAGTTCAGTCATTTTATAATATGTTTGAAATCAAAAGCTGTACAAAAACACACTTACCTGAATAGGAAGTTGATTGGTGAGATAGCAGCCTGCGAAGTTGGTCAGGTCTCCACTAAAGAGGAATAAAAGAAAGCCAAAAGACATGGCCTCCTCTACTTTACCATTACGATACGCCACATACACCTGCCTGGAGAGAGTTTTTTTTTTTTTTTTAAATAATTAATAAAAAGGTTGTATTCACCTAACATCACACTAAAATTGAGCATGAGGTCAGGTCAGAATCCTTTGGTTTAACTGTCAGATTGCACATTTTTTGATCTGGTTCATTGTTAACATCTCTGTAATTAATCGAGCCTATCCACATGGAAAAACTGGTACAAAATTCCATGTCTTATCTGTGAGAATCAGTAAACAAAAGAAACTATTAAGTTCCTCATTGTAACATACAACATACCTGGAGTCTTGTTTTGTTTCATTCACTGGTTTATCACACAAATCTTGCATATTTAGGCTGAGTTCTTCTCTCAAACAGTAAACACTCCACCACCTAGTCACGTCATCTTGTAATACAAAAAGTGCTCCACTCTATTTTTAAACTCCATACACCTTCACTAGACTCATTTGGATAATTTCAGCCTTGAAATTGCCAATCTCTATTGAACTAAATGTAAAAGGAGCTGTTCACTTGAATTCTACTGCTTCATAATATCACAGGGTGGAACAGATCGTTTTGAGCTTTGGGGATGTAGACAGAGTAATAATAACAACTTACTCAAATGTGTGTGAAAGAAACAAAACACAACGTAAAAGTATGTTTCTGACAACAACATTATAACATGGCTCAAAGCTCACAAGAGTATATGGCAAGTTTGTAGAGTGAGTCCCTAGCAAATAAAGATATGGTTTGATGTGGTGCGTTTTATGTTATGATACAGTATTTCTTTCAAAAACCGTCAATATCCCATAGAGTTAGGATATATATGCATCTACCCTCCATCTGAAATCATACATATATACAAGTGTACTTACGGTAGTGTGGAAAGCAGAAAACAGAACATAGATACGAGTCCAATCACGACACTAAGGTACTCCCAAATATTGTCCACACACTCCTCCAGCAGGATACAGAATCCAGGGAGTCCCATTCTCACACAGCGGTTTTCCTGCTACCGAAGTGGTCCAGTTAACTCCATGTGAAGTCTCCCCATGGAAACGTCCAGCGGCCATAACAGGCTGACCAGCTCTGCCTCGATGCAGCCTGCTCCTGTGTTATCTACCTACAAACAAAAGCAACAAGTTAATAAACTGCTGTGATGCCATTACACTCAATTTCATTGTAAAGGAAAGAAAACTGATTCTAACTATGGATTTTGATGCCACATTGGGAAAAATCATACTTTTAACATAGAAAAAAGATGCATTGGTGTATTGGCCCTATACTAAGGCTGTCAAAAATATAAAAAATCAGATACTAATCAATACTAAAACTAGAATCGAACCTAGATACTCCTTTAAGCAGGTATCACATTTACAGGACAGACATTTAAAAAACAAAAATATAAAAAAAAGTAAAGTAAGATTTAATGTTTAATTTCCATTGTTTAAACAAAGAGCGTTTATCATTGTAGTATTTGTATCGGTACTGAGTAAGAATTCTGTAAGAATACATGTTTTTCAAGACAAAAAAAATCCCCTATAATTAAACAAATGCAAGTTATACAATTTTAATGCAATACTGTGGAGCATTTCAGGCAAAACAACAACTTCTTCATGGATACAAGGAAGTGAAAAACCTTCTGCCTAAAAGTTTAATAGTTGATTTTAATAATCAAAACTGTGAAAATGTCAAATGTGTTGCATAAACAAGTTTCTTTCCTCTGAACAAACAACCAAACTGTAACAAAATAATTTTGTAATTTAGTATAAACAGAAGTCTACAATGAAATCTTATGTAAACCAAAATTAAGAACATATATTTTAATTAAAGACTGTTTTGGTCCTGAGCCTTATGTCACAGCAGAGGTCAGAGGTCAGTATGTGACCAGCTGAGGTGTGGGCCTCTGGCTTTGGAGATGGGACACTTCCACTCAATCCCAGAGGAGGAGCGCACATGTGCTGTGTATGACTTAAAGGACGCTGAAAATGAAATTTTCTGTTCTGTTCATTTTCTGTTCTACTTTAGTATCATGACCTGCGCTGTCAGTTTTTGTCTAATGTATCTTACTGTTGGTTTGCTGTGTCTGATGAGGAGAGACTGGAGTAGTTGTTTAAATGTAATGTTTTCAAGCTGGCTCAGTTTGTGTTAAAAGCCTCAGATCACTGTAAGAGGACACTTTATGTTTGATGTGTGAGCTGTTGTTTTACGTGTCTTATAAACCCATGTGGGCTGGGTACCAACTAAATGGTGCATGAAACTAAATAAGTAAAATAAAATAAACTAAATTAAAGCAAAATATGCCAAAAAATATTCTTGGCGATATATCAATACAGCAGCCCACGATATCGATACTGTATCATCATATTACAATACGATATATCGATATTTCAATACTTCTGCACACTCCTACCCACAATCTTTAGCCTGCATCGCTGTATCACTCCGCTGCACTTTTTTAATCGTTAGTAACAACAGAAGAGTTAGATTACTCCGCTGTAAAGGTGTTCCACAAGAGTTATTTAACACATTTGTTCAAATTTGTCGTCAGAACAATCACAGATAACTAAATTAAGTGGAGTGAAGTCGGTAAAGAAATAATACGAGTCGGTTTGCTTGTTTTTGATCATTTTACAGCGCACACCACGTTGCTATAATTTTGCTGTCTATCATATCATGTAAGTTAGCATAGCATAGAAATATTGACTTCACGTTGCTCTGTTAGCTCCCTTTAGCATTTTGCCCAAACAACCTAAATAGTTTTTCCACCTTTCATAGGTTTGGGGGAAATAGCCTGTGCATGTGTTAACTCTTATTCTTTTTCCTCGTGTATGTATAGATTAAGCTATGTTGCAAAGAGTTACCGCTGCACATCGCTGCATAAAAGCTCCATGGATGCTCCGCTCCCAGTGTTGTTGTCTGCTGGATCTCCATCGCAGACTGTCCAACATCCAGACAACAAAAACAGAGCGGGCATCCGGGTGGGACCTTCAAAATACAACATAGGACACTGCTCACTAGAGGCTAAATAAGTGCGACGTGGGTAAATCAATGAAAGCCACTCAGTTAGGCTGTACTAACTAGTGTCCTTTTCATTTTAGGTCCAGGAGGAAGGAGCACAAATGCAAGTCCACCATCACGACAGCGTGCAGGGAGACTCCTTCTTTGGGGAAACACTCCCATCTGGTGCTTGACTCTTGGAACTGCAGCAGCCTGAATTAATGCAGAAAATCCATCCCAAAACATCTTCATCAAAGTGGACTGCTAAAAGTGAAGCCATTTCTTATAGTCTACTTAATTTGGGCTACTTAACAATATTACCCACTGGAGAAACATTACTTTACCACTATTCCTAAAGCTAGTACCCTACTATAACCTGCATGAAACAGCTAAAAGTGAATGATGTTTGTGCTTTCATTTAGAAAACATCTTGGCGTGTTATAAACTCTTGTCCATTGCGCACCTGTTGCGCCCTGTGCCCTGTTGAGCCACACGATGGCGCACGCTGCAGTCGTGTCGGTCTGGGCAGAAGAGGCTCCGAGGCTCTATGTTTGGGGAACTTGAAGCTGTGCATGAATATGTGTTGATGTGCTGGATGTGGGAGACCGTGTGACAGGCTGCTGTTACTGCCACACCGCCTGCCCATGCGCCCCGAGCACAGGTAAGCTTTCAGACTTGGAACTGAGGTTGTGTCTAGTCTATTTTCTGTAGCACTGGAAACGCGTTGCAAGGGAACAAATACCAACCACATTCCTTAGATGTCGCGAAAGTAGAGTGGATTAGGTGACATAACTGGCAAGATCCCAAAACTCCTAATTAACTAAAAAAGTGAAAAAATGAAGCAAACGAATGCACGAGGGTAAAGGATAGCGTGGTGTGTGCATTTTTTATTATGACAATAGCTATCAGCCTGTAACAATTGATTAACAACTCGTATAACACGGCAGATAAACGAGGATCATAAGAATATGCAGAGAGAGAACACGGTTAAAGTAATGGGTGTTTAGTAAGAAGGTCCCAGACGCTGTGCTCCACCTGCTGTAGCTGCAGGCGGTGTGTTTGTCCTGCTGTTTCCCCTGCTCCGCGTGCTCTGTGCCCATGTTTCAGTGTAAATACCGCGGAATGTGCGAGAGCAGAGCCGCGCGTTCCCTTTCATACAGCTCACATTTGATCTGGGCATTCTCCTCTGCGTTTATCAGACAGAGAGGACTCCTCAAGGTCATCTGCTGTAAGACAGATGGCGATGTCCCGGGAAAGGGCAGGCTCCGTGTTAAGTTTATGCGCATTAATCATTTTGTTAGACTGTAGGTCAGGTGAGCTTCCTCAAGGACTGGCTACAAAACGATACTGTGAGACTGTTGTAACTGCTCTATTGCATCTACAGGTAGCCCGTAACTTCAACATCATTTACTTATTATTTGTTTGACAGTTTGGCTGATTTAGTCTACATGAGTGAAGAAGTGCAACTCCAAGTTTTAATGCTGGTCTTTATTTTAATAAAACACCAACAGAGATGTCCATAAGCTTGTAAATTAGATATAAACCTTTCAATTCATTTGCATTAAAGCTGATGTCCCCATCTCTGCGACTCTGAAGTTTGAGCTGTAGACGTGAAACTAATGAATAATGAATGGATTATGGAAGGATGACTTGGTTGAGTGCAATTGTAATAGACGTTTTCTCAATCCTCTGAGCACTTGTAGTCTGACAGTGTCTTAGCAAAAAGAGGCCACCTCCGCAGGCAGCATGCTATTTCTGATTATCTGATAAATAAAAATTACATCTACAGTCTGAAAATGGGACAAGGCATTGCAGTAATTTTATTTATTTATTATCTATTTTCAATACCTTTGTACTAGACTGGGGCTGATTTTCAATGTAGAAGTTCTCTGTCCTCTGAAAGATGAAAAAATGAAAAAATCCAGTTGAAGTAAAGCTCCACTGTGTTGTCTTTTGTCTGGCCTGATCCTTTTGGCTGCTGTCAGAGCTGTTCTTCTTGGCTCTTTGCAAAGAGACGTCTGTAAGTGTCACAGCAGCAGCAGTCTCACAGCCCCAGAGTCTCAGAGGAGCAGTGTCTATGTTTCTCCTTTATTTCCTCTTCTGTCTTCATTGGCATTCTTCATCAACATGCAGTTTGTTCTTTCTCTTTTGCAAAATTGCATTTATTGTGTTTACTTATCATAGGCAAAACAAGTTTGATTTTAAATTTTGAATTGATTGATTTTGATTGATTGATTTTTAGTTTTTTTACTCAAGAAAGTAAATCATATGACATGGAAATGACAGAATTACATCAGTTCAGTGCACTATTGCAGCCAATAGCTGTCATTGTGATTAAGTCCATGTTGTCCTTTCATGTCACAGCAAGGGCCAGAAGGACTGGACTGGACTAAAATCTGCTAAAATAGTGTATAGTGAAGCTGAAGTTGAGTGTCTTGGCTCGTCTTGTTGTAAATATGTCTCGCCCCGCCCCCTAGTATCAACATTTGAAAAGCAAATTCAAACGTGAGACTTCTTGAGGTCTCATAGCCCAGCCCCCTCCTCTTCACTTCCCCCAAATTCCACATCGTCATTATGTGCATTCATTAAAAGCTGGTGTGTGTAAGTTTGACACAAAAAGAGAGAAATACACACACTCAGACCTTGCGGCTGAGATGTCCAGAGAAAAAAAGAGCAGAGTGTTTTTGGGAGCTGCTCTCAACTTCATCCTCAGTCTGTGCCATGCGTCAGAGCAGGTGCATGTTTCACAGACAGGGCTGAGTGAGCAGAGAAAGAGCAGAGAGCAGGAGGACAGGGGGAGCAGGGGACAGGGGGAGCAGAGGACAGGGGAGGGGGCTATGTCTTATAGGTCCTACAAAAGAGCCAGTGTTTCCTCCAGGGCTCTGTCAGACTGAAGGGCGGAGCAAAGAAACCTTCAGCCACATCGTCCTTGTGTAGTCTCCCCTCACCCACTGCCACCGTCACTTATAAATAACACCAAATCCTTCATGTTAAACATGAGAGTTCAGTGTGTAGTGGACATTTTCCTGATGTGTGTGCATCTTTAAAAGCCACATTCCTGAGCTCAGTGAGGCATAGCCTGTGATTAATAGTAACCAGCGGATGGTTAAAGACTCAAATTCCTCAGGATCATTGTGACTTAAACACACGGTTCTACACTGAGCACTGAAGTGCACTTGTACATAAAGTCACAGTTATTTTATTATTGTGATTGTTCCACAGTCTGTGTGAATTACACATTCTTAACAGCAGCACTTTTGTTGATGTTGCATTGTTGATGTTTTATTATAATGGAATGTCATGCCTCACTCTGTTTATCTGCTTATCTCATTTTCCCTGAAGCATGTGTCAGTGATTTGCAGATGAAGTGTGTGAAACTGACAGAAACATTGTCAAACTTTTCTTTTTAATTACATTTGAAAATCAAAATATATATATGTATTTCACCTAACCCATGTACTGAAAATGTGTCAGTATAATAAAAATAATGTTGCTGCCGCTAATACCTGAGCGTGTAACAAAATGCTGCAGCTGCCTGCGAAGGAATTTGCATTCTTCTGGCACAGTTAGTACCGTATTTATATTAATACTAAAAACAGTGGCTTCAAGATGTGGTGAACCGTGGTGAATATGAATTTAAACCACACAGCACTTTGTGAGGAAGGATGTTACCATAACATTACATCAGAATGATGAAACAGCAAATGTGCAGGATTACTCATTTATGGGACATGAATTTAAGCATAAGCTTTTGTCCACTGGAAGTGTGTAGTAAATTGAAGCTGTGTGTGGCCTTTCCTTTCACTCTGTTTTTATGGTTGTTTCATTGTCTCAGCCTCATAAGTAAAAGGATTCCTACTCGGTGTCCTGGTAATGGTCTGAGCCTGACACAGAAGATAACAGGTTATACTACTACACTGCTGTTTGAGATGATGGCTGATGGTAGAGATAATGGCTTGGGGAGAAACCAAAGTGATGTAAGGGAACACAGGCACAGGTCAGCCTTATTATTATTATTATTTTGATTTGAAGAGATTTTCTGTTCTTCTTTTGGTGTCTACTCACAATCCTCCGTCTGACTTCAGTGGTTCTGAAAGTGTTAATGTTTTAATGTTTAAATAAGGTTCACAGGAAAAGCGATAATGGCAGGTGAATGGTTAACATCTGAATTTGCACAACACTATCTCCATTCATAATACATTAAGGATACTATGCTCTAGTTAAAGCACAGGATTTATTCACAAAATGGAATGTTAGTTTTTATTTCAACTTTTTTCATTATGAACATTTTAAAATCTGACTGCGCCCTCCCTCTTCTTTCTGTGCTTTTGGTACATTCAGCACTGTTAATCCAAATCACTGACATTATCAAATATGAACCTGTTTCTGCTTTGCTCAGTTTATGTTTATGTTTGCAGTAAGCAGTTCATTCATTTCAAAATGTTCTACTTTCCCTTTGTAGTGGAGTGAACCCAAGAACATGTCCTGTCATTTTGGGTTTCTGATACAGTCCTATGACAGAAAATACTGTGAGAAGAACCCACGTCATCCTGGACTACTCTAAGATGTAAGTAAACAAACAGAACAGAAACGATTGGTCATTAATAGGCCCTATTCCCAGAGCCTGGCTAGATCCGGTTCTCTCAAAAACTGCTACTGCTGGTTACACATAGATTATCACAGACAGCGTGTTAGGACCTTTACAACAATGTAAATTTTCACCAGAGGAAGCTTCCGTGTGTATGAAAGTAGTAAGACTAAAAAAAGAAAAGAATAAGAATTTAATTTCTCCTTTGCTATGGATCCTACCTGAACGATGACAAATGCTAACCTCATCTAAATCTCAAAATAGAACACAAAATAACTTTATGGAAATACATCTAATAAGAAGTCAGTTGCTTTTCTGTGCATTATCATTCAGATCGTAGCACAATTTTAACATCACTATTTCATTTTAATTTCCATTAACATTTGCTTCGAAACACACATGAGGTCTCTGGCCACCGTGGAGGACAGGCGGGGAGGAGGGACAGACAGGAGACGGGCAGAAGATGAGTGCAGGGAGTGTCGGGGGAGTGTAAGTGTGTGGAGGAGGTTAGACAGGTAAGGAGGTGCAAGATTGTGAGGGGCTTTGTATGTAAGAAGAGGGATTTTATAGTCATTGCAGTATTTGTCAAGGAGCCAGTGTAGATGACAGAGGATGGGGTTGATGTAGTTAGAAATGGGGGTTCTGGTGAGCATGCGGGCGGTAGAGTTTTGGACCAGCTGTAGCTTTATGGAGAGTGTACCTAGATAGTGTTTTTTACATTTGGCTCTGTGTTTTTCCTCTAGAGCTTTAGAAACTTGACCATAATGTGCTTTTTTGTCCACACTAGGCCTCTGCAGCCACAGTGAGGGGGACGGACGGCTGACGATGCACCAGTTGTTTAGCCTGGTGCTGGGCCAGAGGGACCTGTCCAGAGCAGGGGACCTCTTCTCTTTGGAGGACGGAGACATCGAGGATTGTCTGTCTCAAGCTCTGGACCAGATCAAAGCCATCTCCTGCTCTGCTGTCAGTTTCTATCTCACATTTAACACTTGTTTTAGTACTGTTAAAATTCCTCTGTGATAACAACCACCGAGTCGGTATGGGACGACATAGAAAGTTGGTGTCATGATTATCATGGCCAGAATAATTGTGATCAAAGATTATATCACAATAATGATTAAAGATGCTTTGACAGTTTAAAAATGTTATAGATAAGAAATAGTTATAAGTATCACTTTAATATTATAAATAGGTTAAATATTTGAACAACTTGTTATAGTATTGGCTCTATTCACGCTTACGTCACAAACCAGCAAGACGTTTGGAAACATGCGATGACAACCTCCAGAGAGCTCTGTTCACGGTAGTACGTCTGACAAAATCTAGGAAAAATGAGAAAATGGACCCAGTTTTCTTTATCTTAATGTCATTGTAGTGTATGGCTGAGTATCATTAAGGAGTTGCTGATACGATACATACCTCGATACACAGGTCACAGTATGATACATATCTCAATACAGTGCACTTTCGATTTGATATGATATATTTCAAATGGATTCGATACGGTTCAATAAAAAATAAAGGTAAATCCTGGCTGTGATACTAAAAGGCTTTGTTAAATCACTTCTTGTGCAAAGTTCATATGAAACACAAACATTTTAATCCTCAAAACAATAAAAATGTCAAATGTGTCACATAAACGAGTTTCCTTTCACTCCAAAAGCAACAAAACTGTAGCACTGTAACAAAATAATTTAGGAAAACACACCTAAAAATACTCTTGGTGAAAATATCGATATCGATACTGTATCATCACATTAAACGATACGATATATCGATATTCCGATATTTTTGCTCACCCCTACTGTATTGTTTAGTTATTTTCGGCTAATCAACAATTATAAATACACCTCAGTTTTCATAATTTCCTCACTGACACACAACTCTGACCGCACTGGGTACATGTGATTAGAAGAGATGAGGGCGCTAAATTCAAGATTATTCTGAACAGCATATACGTATGCAGTCTTCATTTGACTGCTCATGACATTTACTTCAGTGGGTTTTATCACAGTCGGTTGGTGAGCCCAGTGTCGGTAACTACACCTGAAGTTGTCAATGCATGTACAAACGTCTTCCTGGTTTGTTACGTAAGCGTGAATAGAGTCTATAGTACTTCCACACTATGGCATTAACCTTATCCTATACTGATAATGCTCAAAGATACTTTGGAGAACTTGCATTCTTATTTTGAGCAGCCAGCCTCTCCAAAGATCTGGCCTCTGACTGTAACTTGGCCAGATGGTCTCATCTGCTTGTCACCATGCAGTTATATCTTTTGTGCCATATTGTCGAATCAGAAAAGTTACATATTGCACCTTTAAAAACACCCCAAAATGCTATTTAAATTTTTTATCAGAATAATTTACAGTCAATAAAAAAAAAATCAATTTATTTTTTTTTTTTTTACTTTATTTATCAACATTTTCAGTTTAGAACAAACACTTAAAAAAAAAAAAAAAAAAAAAGGTGGCAAGCTTACTGTTTGTGCCAGATAATCATTAAAATACACTGTAAACATAAATTACAGTATAATAAATAAAAAAAATATAAATTAAATAAACACAATTAAATCAATTTAAATTCACATTCTATATGATTTACATAACAGAAATATGTTTAAATACAATAGCCAAATAATAACAAAAATAATAATGAAATAAAATATAACATTAAGGCTAAAATAGATACAAAATTAAAAAGAAATCAATTTCAAACTCAATATCGATACAAAAGAATAGACTTGATACTCAATACCGATTCCAGTACCATAACAATGATAATTAAAACACTTTTTAAACAGTAGAACAACATTAACTCATTGTACTTTCTTTTTTTTACCAGTATTATATCTGTGTAATCCCTGAGTCATCCAGGTAGTCATAGTGGTCCATGAGTGTATACTAGTCTATGTTCTGCTACAACTCGATATCATTCTGTAGTTAATCAGCAAAGGTTAATTTCTATGTTGTGAATGTGACTTTTTTTGTTTTAGTTTCCATTAGTGTCTTATTTTTGACACGTTTGACAACCCTAATTTGTAGACATGAAACAAGTCTGAAGCCCTTCCCAAACATTCTATCCCCCAAACTGCATGAGCCTTTTTCAGATTTTGTTCACCTTTTCTCACAGGATTATTTGACCAGCGACAATGACCAGGCCGTGGTAGAGATCTGCATCACCCGCATCACCACGGCGATAAGGGAGACGGGCTCCATAGAGAGACACAGCACTGCTCTGGTGGCCCTGTGGGAGTCCTGCCTGGAACATAAGCTCACTCCACAAGGGGAAGGCACAGAGGACACGCCCCACGCCAAGATCGCCTCGGACATCACCAGCTGTATCCTGCAGGTATGACAAGAGCATACCGTATTATCCGGGCTATTGGGCCAAGCTCTTAAGCCTCTAACCCTATCAAAAAACACGCCCTGCAATCCAGAGCGCCCTATACACGAATCCACTCAGGTGTCCCAGCACGACTTCAGTAAACTACAAAGCCGCACCACTCAAGCCGCACTCAAACACGCATGGAGCAGACAGCGACCGCATAGTGAAACACACCCGCAGCCACACTCATCACTCCACGCCGACAAGGAATGGAATGGAGGAACAAACCGAAAAAGCGAGTTCAATGTACCACTCTAAGCCACAACTCAACAACTGAGTCATTGTGAACACGCCAACTATCCAGCGGTCCCAGACAGCACCCTCCCTACACGCCACAACTGAACAAAGCCCAGAGTCACCGTGAATGCGCCAAACAAAGTCCAACTGACCCATCTAACTGTGTTTCGTTTAAAGTCCGGTATAGACTGTATAGATTGTATAGACCATTTAATTACAGTGCGTCTAATAATCCAGAGCTCCTAATAGCCCAGAAAATATGGTACTTAATGCCGTAAATACTGTCAAATACCATGGAGATGTTAGTGCTTTGTCTAGAATGTTTCACAGTATGGTATTAAACCTTTCTATCTTCACAGAGACCAAACCAGTCTAAAGTTACAGGTCAGATCTATGGAAAAGCAACCCCACTCACAGTGAGAATGCCTATATTCTAAGTATTTTTGAGCTATAAAACCATTTGTAATTTAATCAAGGTAAGAGAGAGCTGTTTAATGTCATACTGTGGAACATTCCAGGCAGAGCAATGACATACTGTATCTATAGACAAAAGCAGGTGACTGACCCTGAACCAAAAAGTTACATAGTGCAACTTTAAAGTACGTAGGCATAGTTTTGACGATTCTCTCATTTTGACTTTATTTGATGGAATAATACTTGTTGTTAATATAAGTTTTACACTAATCAAGAAGCAGTTTGTGAGGAAAAGTTGAAAAATCTGTTGAAAATTACAGGAAGTAGAGAGTTCAGAGAATATTTTAAGGAGTTATATATTGATAACATCACGCAGCACAATTTACACGCAAGAAACTCATTTTTATGACACTTTAAACCCGGTTTCAACAAACTAAAGGTGTTTTCTTTTATTTTTTTTTTGTCAAATCATAACTTCTGTGTACATTAGAGGAGTTTTGGCTCAGTGTACATTATGGTTGCTAGGTAACAGTTAAGGAATTCCCTAGTGTGATTCATGATTTCTAACCAGGAACAAAAATTCTGAAAAAATGGCAAAATGAAAAAAAGAGTTTAAAGATTCTTATATTTTTTAATTTTTAAATCTAATGACTGTTTTAGTGTACTGAGTAATCTAACTTGTCATATGCACTTTAAAGAAGCAGGACTAAACATACAACATCAACAACATGCAAATTGAGATTTTACATAACCCAGCCAGAGGTCTTTCAGATGTAAATGTGGATCTCCTCATTTTCCCATAAGAGTTTCACTGCTTAAAAGGTTTAAGGCAAAAGCATGTTTTCTGCATTTTACTCAGAACTATGAATGTACTTAATACCTCTAGTAGAGCTGATCCTCGTGGAAAAGCATGTGCACACACAACTGGTAATTTTCAGTTTTTCTAGAAAGTAAGGATGTCATATTCTCAGATGTAGGGCAAGAGCCAGATTTCCCTATTGATTGCATCCTATTTTACCATGACATATCCAAATGGTAAGTTCACAAACACTGAACCTGATATTTTCCCTTATTAAACCCAGGTACTCACTGTTTTACAACATAATTTTGCATTTTATCTATTTTAATTTTAATTTTAGCTGCTTCCCATCTGTATTAATTCATATTGGCCACCTATAGAATACAGTGATGTCCCCTTAAACCCAGCAATAGGACTCAGAGACACTGAAGTTACAAGTGACTTTTTGTCTTGAATGTGCAAATGTGTGTTTTTGATGTTATCCTTAAATTTTAATCATCTACGCATTATGAAAGGCATTTTGTGTCTTGGACTCTACTTTTTGCCCAATCAGGGACACTGCTGGATGAGAACCAAACACAAACAATGGCATGATTATAAACCAGACTGTTTTTATCTGTGATGGTTCGACATAAGAGTGAGAGAAGGAGCTTTCAACCACTCTGTACTGCCATCAAGTGTCAGAATATTGGTACAGCATCATAGGAATGTAACTGCTTTCTTGTAATTAACATGGAGGCTGGATTTTAATAATGTACTATCTTTCAGTAAGTTTCATCCAATATAAGTTTTGTGGACATCATAATAAAGTAGAGCGCTTTATGTTATAAAAATATACATATATATATATATCCGTTTGTCCTTTTGGGGGTGCTAAAGTCCAACACTTATTTTTTTTTACTTCTGTCTGCTTGTTGGGCCTGTAGATGAGAGCTGTGTATTTCACTGACTTTAAACATATTTAAACATATAGAGGACATATGAAGTGCCCTGCCATCTATCTCCTATAATACATGTGTGTGCCAACAGAACTACAGCTGCCCCTCAGTGATGGCTTTAGCTGTCCCAGTCGCAGTGCGCTTCCTGCAGAGAGGGAACAAGGAGCTGAGCCGGAACATGTCCAGTTACCTCTCTCTAGCGGCCATCGCCAAAGCTGAGCTACTGTCTGACCATGCAGAGGTCATCACCCTCAGTGTGCTGGGAGGTAAGTCTCAATAACAATATGAGAGAATATTTGAGAAAGATACATTTACTGCACTTTAGTATTTATATTTTTGTCTCGTGTAAGGACTTTGGCTTAGTTACAGTTATATATATTAAAACATGAACATAAACAGTGCATCTTGCACTAATGCAGTTCTGTTAAGGTTTTGCAATCTAGTATACCCTCAAGAAATTAATTTGATATAAATACAATATTACACAACTATATATATGACTTTTTTGCACTATACTGTACACTTTCATTTGGCTATTTCCATAAATTGTACCAATCACAATGACACTGAACAATTGCAGGAGTGGTAGTTTTAGTCTCTTTATTAAAAATGTGTGACTGTAATCGAAGTGCTTTACAAAAAATACAGATTTTATTTTATAAAAGAAACATAATGGCAGCTCTTTTATTTATGTACAACATACATTCACTTTTGACATTAAACAACAGCTTAACATATTTACAAATATACTACAGGAACATTGTAAACATTGACCTCAGTTTTATTCATTCTCTGACAGTTAAACCAAAACCACAAACATTTGACCTTGACTTAAAAAAAGAAAAACAGATGTAATGATATGAATGCAGAGGGGCCATCTTTATAGTTATTATAGTTTGGTCTCACTGGTCAGCCTTGGTTAAATGGAGGCATATTCTATACAGCAGTGATCTATCACAAAGTTATTTACAATAATACCATTGATTTTACAATACAAACGTACTTCACTGTCACCATATACGTGTTTAATACCGACTGAAGAAAATCTTCAAAACAATACAAATAAGACTACCCCTAAAATTAGGAATATAACACAAGGTAAAAGACTATTAATGCTTTGCCTCATCAGGCTTCACAATATTTAGAGAAATCATGGTTGTCTCTCATTTTTCTGCTCCTTTAAATTCCTTTAGTAAAATAACATCTTTTTGTGACAATGAAATAAATCTTTGGTAAACTCTTCAAACTAACTAAACCTTTCTCTTCTTAACCAACATCATTGAGTATTGAATTTGTTTGGGGCTTAGTCCCATTAGTGGTTTTATTATAAGCAGTCTCTCACAGTTTTAGTTTCCTCTGAACAGCACATGCCATTTACAGAAGCTTTGCAGCATATTGTTCATTATAAAAGGTTGCATATACCTCTCTCAATGTAGTTTATAGTGATATATTCTCGTCACTCTTAACGTGGCAGCTTATCGTGATGTTGCAGGAGTCACATTGACAGTAAGTGTTGTGTTTGCACATGAGTCTGTTAGTGGATGAACTGAGCGCCACCATGCGGCACCATCTCAGTAAGACCCCATGCTACCACATTGCCCCTGTGGCCACAGCTTTGGCTCTCGATCTGACCAAGCTGAGTAATCTCTCCTTCTGACAGCACCCTGTCCCATATGTTCACTCCCGTCATCCTCCCTGCAAAAGCAAGCTTACGGTCAAAGCCTTCCTCAAACCCAGGCACCCCACCACAGCAGCCATTTTTCTCCTGTCCCAACTGCAGGGAGCCTCCTTGAGGTATGACATGTCCTTCAGCCACACCGGATATAAGTACCGCCCTTTGACCATTCACCCACAGGCTGGCCTTGCCCTGGTCAGAGGACCAAGTCCCACACAAGTGGATCCACTGGGAGACTTCTCCTGGCTTCAGAACTCCACTGGCCTCCACCAGATGAGCCTCTCCCCCCACAGTGAGCTGGGCCGCATCATGGCTGAGCAGCAGCTCAATCTCATATGGGTTTTGGCGACTTCCGTATGATAACAGCACTGTTTTGTTGGAGACACCATTTGGCTTCACCCAGAGACAGGCAGTGAAGGAGGAGAGCGATAGTGGAACCTCTGGTACAACCGAAGTGTAGATACGCCGTGAGCGCATGGGAAACAGAAGTGCCATATCACAACCTACAAAACACATAAACTTATTATAATACAATGAATAGTAAAATGATTTGTATTGAAGTAATGGAAATGCAAGTGAAACAACAGTTAAGAGATAAGTCCTCAACACTTGACTTTGTCACTACTTAAACCATTGTCTCTGGTTAGAATACTAGTATGTTGCTACTTGACCATGATGAGACACCTGGACAAAGAGTTTGTGAGCATTCACTCAACACTGGGTATCATTTGTTATCACACATGTGACCTTCTTATGTCAATGAGACAGAGACAAATGAATTTAAGCAGAGGATTTGTGGAGGCCTTAGTGTGGAGGCGGCAGGTAAAGACAGACAGATCGTTGAAAAGAAACAAAGGTGAAAAGATGCATATCTTGCCTCCAGGTAAGTATCTCTGCTTCAGTGATGACAGCACCTCTTCCAGTTCTGTCCTTGATTGCTGTAAAGCTCCAAGTGCTGCTCCAAGCATTCCCTCTTGGGAAGCAACTTCCTGCTCCTGGTGCTGGTTTGAATGCTGGAATCCGGTCTTTGAATGCAACCCACCGAAACAGTTGCTCTCCAGTTTCACCAGGCGAGATGCTTGAGACTGAGCAGCAGAGAGGAGCTGCTGTAGGACTGGCTCCAGCTGGAGGCCTCCAGATTTCACATTAGTATTTTCACATGGTTTGAGTTGATCCAGCATGTCTTTGAAATGGCTTTCCAGCTGAAGAGACACTTTTCTACCTGCTGTCTCCACTGCTACACCACACGAACCACCATACTGTGCTACAAACCTATTCATTGGAACAAAGAACAATTTTGAAGCAACTTCCACTATCTTAAATCTTCAAACACAATTTTGTTGTCAACTGACCTGAGCATCTCCTGCCGTAGAGAGTCTATTTCCACCTTGATGATGTCATCAGAGTATTGGAGCAGCATGTTCTCCCTCATCTGACTGTTCTCCAGCATTGAAAACATCTTGTCCCATTTGCTCAGGTCTGGTGCGCTGCAGGGTGCTGTGTCTGCTGCGTCTGCTGTGTCTGTTGGGGCTGTAGACACATAAAGTTAAATCAGTGTCTATCCTGAGCATGAACCAGAGAAAACACTGTAAAAGAGAATGAATGTGACATAGTGGTGTTTCAGAGGCATGAGGAGAAGGGGTTGGTGTGAACAGTGATGTGCTGAATAGGAAAAAGGAAGAGGAAGCTCTCTGAGTGTGTTTGTGTTTAGGAGGAGGGGATTTGCCTGTTTGACTAAAACATCATGAAGAAGTTCTAAGACAATGTGGGAGGTAGAACAACCAGCGAGAGAATATCTCCTGTCACACACTGTTCTTATTACAATCTGAGCCTCTTAAACTCTTTTTATCAAACATATTCTGAAGAGGAAGAGGCCCGCTGAGTTTGTTTTGGCTGCCTGTCTATGAGGTTTAAATTAATTAAGGATTGGTTTCATGCATCCTGTGTGCTGAATTTAAAAAAACTTTTATAAACATATTTAATTACAGCATTTGAACATTTGAGCTTGTAACAAATTACACAATTGACATAACCTCCTAAAGATAACACACTCTTTTGAAACATGAAAATTATTTATAACGTTCTAAAATAACATGCTTCCTTTTATCTCATCTGCCAGTGCCGCTTGTCCCCTGACCCCACACCACACCGCTCTTATACCACTACATCTGCAGCACTTGTAAGATGCTCTATACTTCTCATGTCCAGGGTTTGTTTACAGATGGTCGCAATTGTTTTACTTCTATAGTTTTGACAAACTATGCTGTATACCAGAATAAATCATAAATCAATAACACATAATTTGTATTATTTTTAAAATAGAGTTAGACTCAGTCTCACTGTAGTTACACAGCTGATAGACAGAATCACCTGTGTCACAGATTAATACCTCATGACTATGTTTATTCTTTCTATAATATTAGAACATGCACTTAAATTGTAAGTAAGAGTAATCATAATAGTACTTACATGCTGTTGCCTCTGCTACTGGGATTTCATTGTAGAAAGGCTCCCCAAAGTTGACGTCTATGTCATCTTCATAATTGGTCGCTCTGGCCAGTGCTATACACAGGCAGAGTGACAGCACGTGCAGTGAGCGGGCCAGGCTGCAGTGGGACATGGTGCTTCTCTTGCGTGTGTGAGGTGAACAGTGTGAGTGGCGTTCTTCACTCTCTTTTCAACTGCTCGCCCCCTAACCCTGCGCTCGGCCCTCCTCTTAATCACTCCCCTCCCTCTTCCTCTCTCTTTCCTCCCCCTCATTAAATGCTGAGCAATCGTTGGCGGGATGCCCAGCTGTGTAGCATAGAGCAACAGCACAGAGGGGATTCTGGAGCTCTGTTTACTGTTCACGCATGAACTGCACGTGATCAACACCTACATGAGCCTCAAGGAAAGATCTTTATCTGAAGCAGTACTGTACAGCACCAGTCAAACACATGTAGAGTTTTATCTAATTATCAATTATACTTATTTCATTCATTGAAATAAGTATAATTGACTAAACTGTACTGTCTGAGTTGGACTGGTTTTTGGTCAGTTGTGATTTGGTTAGTGTTGTCACATTACTAACATTTAAAAATCGATTTTAATACTAAGGAATAGGCTTGATACTCAATACCGATTCTGATATCATGATGATAACAAAAAAAAAAACCCCACTTTATTTAGACAGTCGAATGCAGTTTTAAACACTAAATCATGGTTCTTTTATATTACCCATTGGCCTTATATCTTTGTAATCCCCCCCAGTTGTCCAGGTAGGTTCCATAGTGGTCCGTGGGCAAATATTACTAGAAGTCTATGTTCTAAATTCTATATTCAGGAAAGGTTCATTTCTATTCAATGAATGTGACTTTTTTAGTATGGATACTTGCTCAAATTAGTATTTAGTTTCAATACTAGTTTTAGTATCGATTAGTATCTGATTTTGATACTTTTGACATACCTAGATTTCATTGAGAATTTTTAAAGTTTTCACTATAACACTATAATGTAATTTCCCATCCAGTTTCACTTGAACAGTTCTCAGCAGCATCATATAAGAACTTAAGTCATCTTTATCTGAAAGTTACAGGAAATTGAGAAAGTATCTTTGAATTTCTCTCCTTGTGCAAACATTTGGCCCGCACAGGCAGAAGTATACAAGGCTTGAGCTGTGAGTGAGCCAGTGAGTAATGCGTCGTTGGAGGTAGCTGATGTCGTAATCCAAGTCCTCAGCAGCTCCTGCATATCACACATGTGCGGGGGAGGGGCGCTGAACTTTTTATTTTACTTTAGCCCCATACAGAGATGTGTGAGGCTCTATCTATGGGTTAGGGTTTGTGTGTGGTTTGAATGCACGTCCTTAATGTACTCTTAATTCACATTGTTCATATTTACCTTTGCTGTTCCTGAGTCTTATATAGACTTAATAGCAGGACTCAAACCACCAACTGATGGTTCAGAGGTCAAATACTCAACCAGCTGAGCTGAACAAACACAAACCAAATTTAGCTGGAAAAGGCAATGAGCACATTGCACCTCTTGTTATCCTGTTATAAGTTTTAGATAATGGAAAATATTAGACTAGATTAGACTAGCTATTCTGTCTCTTACCCAAAGTTTCCTTGGAATATGAGACAACCATTGTCTCAAATTAATATTGAATTTTTAAAAGTTACAGCAGGAGAATCCCCCCTCCAAAAATGTCACAATAATGTATTGTATTTGTCCAGGTGGTAACCACACATTCTTTTGAAATTATTGTTAGTAATACTGACACAGGAATGTCATTCATGTAAGCGTGTCCTTCTTTCAAAGATAAGAACGAGCAGTTATGAATAATTAGTTTAATCTGCACGTGTGGTAAGGAAACATCCAGATGAATGACGTAGCAGTTATTTAGGTGAAAGGGGAGGATGGCTGGAGCTTTGCAGGACTTGGCTTGTGTCTGTGTACAGCATGGTCCCACTCAAATACATCTGGCCTGTTCTTATGCCGTTATAGCTGACACTTTATGATATAGAAATAAAATATCCTCATATGTTTCTGTTATCAGTATTATTGTCAAACTGCACAATGTCCATCTGGAATATTTAGCACATTCTTTTTATAGAGCAGCGGGGGGTTCCTCATGACACAAAAATGCACAGAATCCAGAAGAGGTGTGCCTTCTGGGTTAGCCCAGTGTTTAGATTTGACAGTCTCTGTGCCTCTGCCAATCTTGAGTTTAGCTACGCTGCCTGATGAACGACTTGTGGGACAAATGTACATTAAACCAAAGTTGGAACTTGCCATGGAAACCATGTTTTAGTTGTTAAACATCCCCTGTAAAATTTTGCTTTTGCTGAGCTCTGCATCTTTACAAGGACACGTCTTGCATAATATTTCATGTCCACATTTTATAGCAGCCCAAAGCTTTGAACACATGCCTGAGAAGTATTGAATTTCACTCAGTACATACAGTGCTAGTTTTTGTTGGCTGTTCATTTTCGTGGTTGTTATTGTTGCCTTCTGTAAATAACATCATAATTATCAGAAACAAGACAAGTCACGCAACAGAGAACGAATATTACATTCTGTAGAGGCTCACGATCACCTGGCTGTGAACGGAAAGGTTAGCTCTATAAATTTCCCCTCAGCTCTTGTTCAGAACTTCTGTCCTCCAGCCTTTAACATTCCATAACAAATCTTTAAAACTTAGGGGCACATGTACTTGTTATTACCAGCTCCTCTTCTTCACCTCTTTACCACTTCAGTCTGACTTTAGAAGATTTCTACCTTAAATCAGGACGGCATGGTACAGCATAACACAATAATGAATTTTGAAAACTTAAGTTAAAGTAAAAGTAACCATCAGTGAAATGTATTGTCTGGAAAAAGGAGCAGATAACATAAGATCACTCTTCTTTCTGCTCCTTTTCATTCATGTCTTTTATATTTAATGTTATGACACTGTTAATGTCTTTTTATACTTTATGAATGAAATAAATAAACAAATAATAAAATAATAAGTGCACCATCCTGATGATATTCAAAACTACAGCTGTAAGCCAAAGGAGCACATCACTCCCTGATTTACAACTAGAGGAAATTACTACAGTAGACAAAATTATTATAGTATTACCTGCAAAAGTGTATTCTTTTATATAGGCATTACATTTCTTGACAATGTGAGCTGCGTGTAATCCCTCTGAATTAAGATGTTTATTTGTGATTTCTGCTCTGAAGTACTAGGCGGTGTTTCAAATCCTGCTGTTAAACCAGGGAGAAGTCAGAGGCCGTGTGATTGTAGTGAAAGCTATTTATTCTCATGGTGCCTCAAAAGAAACAGCCATGTTATTAAGGTTAGACCACAGTATCATCCCAATGCTAGAAGAAAGGATGAAACTAAACTGTTATTCATGGGCAAGAGCTACACCAAAACAAACAAACACTTCCAGTATTACGTTACATTTCTGTTAAATTGTAAACGTACAACCCCAGACTGTTTGGGTAGTGAAGCGTTCTTGACTATGATCGGAGTTGATTGTTGATTGTCATCTGTTTTTAAGACCCAAGGATTTAGTTTGAAATGTCATGAGCCAAAGTTCTGCGGAGGGAATCCTTCAAAGTTGTGTTTACATGAGTCAGCCGCCTTAGGTATTACAGCAGCTCATGTTGTTGTTTTATAAAGACTTTATTTATCCTTGTGGCCCTGTTGTCATATTACAGCTTGATTGTTCTGGCCTAACCTTTTGTTTTAGTTATATCACTCCAGGGAACACGTGTGTTTTAGATTTTCTTTTGTACTTTGAATGAAAACTTTGCTGAACTAATTATCTCTCCCCTGGCAGGTAACCACATGCTACTGCGAGTCCTGCCTTCGATTTACCCCAGACAACCAGATGTCCTGCACCATCACCTGGGGAACCTGACGGCCATGATGCCAAGGTTGGAACCACCGGAGCAGCAGCATCTGCTCAGGCTCATTCAAATGGTGGCAGAGCAGCACCCACTAGTGAGTCTTGTTTTTGTCTTTAACCCTCTCCAGACAGGCATTGCAGATTTGCAACAGCTAAATTCCAATTACCTACTTACTTCACATCCATATTTTATGAGCTTTTTTTACTCAGGAGCCTTTTCTCCCATCCATGCTGATAAATGTGGGCGATGCAGACTGAGCAAGAATGACTACACACAAACGGCCTGCCAGAAATGCAAAATACTTTTTTTGTTTACAAAGGATAAAAAAGTCAGGATTGTATATTACTACCCCATATTATAATTTTCCCCAAATATCAGATTTTTCCTGATACTAAAAATTTATTTGAGCCTGAGAGGGTTAAAACCAATGCCAGTATAAATTCCTGTCAATTAAGAGTCATAGTCAGTAGAAAATGTGGCTGAAAATAAATGATTCAAATGCAAGAACATTTCTATGTGATGACTAATACAATAAATGTATCTGCAATTCATCAATTATTCATGTGTCAAATATTGTGTTTTCCAAAATGATACGCTTCCACAATGGCATTACCAACCAGTTACGCAAGTCATTTCCCATAAGATGTGAATATAGAAAATCCTGTCTTTCTTAAAAGGGAAAGTACTATGTAATATGGCAATCTCCGATGTCGAATAAAGTACTTTCAGTTCTGTACAAACCCAGCCAGCCATCTGGAGTAGTTCAGATAATCACCCCCAGCGGCTTCATGACCGAAAATCTTTCCACTTTGACTTAGCGGAACATCTCTGCACTGTCATTCCAGTTTAACAAATCGAAGTACATGTGAGAATATGTGAGCTATTAACATTTCATTCTGTAACTTATCTACACCTGTCCATTCCTGTCTATCAGTCACGTGTATCCTAATACTAGTGGCTGCGTTATTCCCTCTCAAAGTGGATATAAGTGTCATATTGTCGCCTGTTTGTTGCTTTTGCAGATGCTGAGCCCCCATGTCCCTGCTCTGGTCAGTTTCCTCCCGGACCAGTCTCTAGCAGAGGCTCTATTGGGAACACTGGTGGATGTTTCTCAGGCCAGTCCCTCCTCGCTGGTCAGCTTTCTGCCCACACTAAGGGTCATGGCTCATCAGTGCCCAGCTTTTTTAGGGCACATCTCCAAAATCTATGGTGCTGTGGGCATTATCAGCGAGGTACATACACACTTAGAGCTAAAGTCATTCACTTTTTATACACAACCAGAAAGAGTGCTTCAGCGTAATGATGTTTTATTAGTGCCAAACCAAATACTTTAATCTAAATAATTAGTATTGACATGAGACTGAACAGGCTTTAATTAGCTAAGTACATTTACAGAAAACACTGTAGCTGCTTGCATAGGGCTGTTGAATCAGTTCAGCTCAATGAGGATGTTGTTTTATGGATCTATAGAACTTTACTCAGTCTGGCTGAAAGGTCAGATTACCATGACTTTTATTATTATAATTTACCATCTTTTAGTGATTCAGTGCTTCTTCTTGGTTACATGGCAACCTAACAAATGTATACAGTCATAGGACCCTAAGGATACAGTGACCCCAGTGGGTGGGTATACTTATTATGGTTGTCTCTTACTCTGGGCTCTCTTGGACAATCAAAGGACATTTTAAAAAAGGGAGAAAAAAAGGGCGAAAGAAAAATCCTTAACAATGAACTTTACTAAGAGTAGAGACCTAAATAGACATGCCTAATTTATCAGGAGTGCCATCAAGAGTCTGGAAACACTAATAATTCTTTTGATTATTTTAACATCCCCAAATGCTCCTTCCCTCTCAATCTCCTTGTCAAAAAAGCTGCCAACCGTAGCCTCTGCCCACTCGTGCACATGCTCACACATGCACACACACAGTTGGGTCCTGCCTTTCCTCACATTGGAACCATTTTAGAAAATAAGTTGTTGTGTTCTGGTTCTGGGAAATGCCTCCACCGAGGCCTCCTGGTGATGGCAGCGCAGAGTGCCTCCTCTGGCTTTGAGATTGTTCCATTTTCTCACATACTTGATTTTAACATGATTACACCACTGCATTTACCCCTTCAGGGAATTAATCTGTATAGTATTTCAAGTCCCAACTAGCACCTTTGGTTAAGAAGGAGCACTTGGCTATGAACACTTGGCCAGTGTATTCATGTTTTAATAAAAAGTTAGCTCAGTTGACATACCAATAACAGATACTATAAACAACTGGGGTGTTAGTTTCATTTATAAGGCAGTGGCTCATCACCTTCTTGTCAGAACTGAAGAAGCTACTTAGATGAGCTTCAGGTCAAACATACTTACTCCAAAAGTGTCGCCCAGTTGACAGAATTGAATTCACTTTTGTCATTTTAATAAACAAATGTCTCATATTTTTGGGGGTAATGATGTTTTGACGCAAGGACTCCTGACATTAAAACTGTAGTAACTTTTCTAATGGGATGCCTGCCTTATGCTTGTTTCCACAGAGATGCCTTGGATGCTATTATAAACTACCTCTGTTTGCTTCTGACATTTTAATCTTTTAATGATCTGTTCCAAAAAATAACACTTAATACTAGAGCCCGACCGATATGGATTTTGCTGTGGCCGATATGAAACCAATATAATGGAAGTTGGAGCTGCCGATAGCCGATATAATCACCGATATATTTAGTGATGTAAAAATTCACTGTAAATGTTCAATTGTTTAAAAAACTTAGGTTTGGCTCTGGTGGATTTTAAATTGGGTTTATTTAGGCAACATTTATTGTTATTCTGCCTCTTTACATCATATTTACAGACAGTAGGTTGACTTAATGGCATTTTTGCATCACATTCTAGACACTAGTGATGGGTATTCCAGTTCTTTTTAGAGAACCGGCTCTTTTGGCTCGGCTCACTAAAAGCTGCTGGTTCTTTTGGCTCCCAAGTGGCTCTTCAGATTGTTTTGTTGCAAGCAGGACTAAAGCACGTCTAAAGCAGGACTGAATCAGGACTGAACCAGGTCTAAACCAGGACTGAAAAAGGACTAAACCGGGACTTATTTATTTTATGCTAAACTACAGTCAAATATGCTCGTTTTTTTGTTTTTTAATCCTACGTACACGCAAATTTCTCAAAGTTTCGTTTTTAGCCGCTGCCGCTGTCAAACCACGAATCTGCACGTGGCGTGAAGAGAAAAAAAGTGAGAGAAAGAGAAAACACGGCTCCCAATAAGGATCAGGCTCCCGTCGTTCCCTTCAAAGAGCCGGTTCTAAGAGTCATTTCGTTCGCGACGGACCCATAACTAGTAAAGAAACTAGCGCTATTAGCCTTTAGCCGTAAATACGTGCGCGCCGCGGTAATTAATTATATGCACAAATGTCATAATTCACAGCTCATTCACATATCAGTGCAGGTCCAGTAGCAAATATACGGCCAATATAGTCACTTTAGAACAGACCAATAGAAAACAGTCTGTTTATGTGCTACAGCAGCTAACCCATAACAAATGACAAAAACTAGCTTCAGAGTCGACATATTTCCAACACTCACCGCTCACACAGGCTCCTCCTCACATTCCAAATCTGCACTAATAAATGTCCTTTTAATCCAGACTCAAACCGATTGTCCGTAAAAAGAATATAATCTCAGTGTTTGGATCTGTGTCTGCAGGTGTAAACAAACACACGTGAGTGACGCGACTCTGTGGTGTGTTCAGGGCAGTGTTTGCAAGTTCACTTTTATGAACTAGTTCAAAGTTAATTCACACCAAAGTGAATAGTTCACGCATAGTTAATTTTAATTTTGAACTAGTTCAAAGTTCAGCATTTTATATAGATGAGATCTGTAAATGAAAGGCTGCATTTATTCAAACTGACTTCTAGTTACAACAACTTTACAAGATACACTGTTGGACAAGTGACTTTAAAACTGTAACATGTTATTTATGACTTGTATTGTCATTTCTAAGTCATTTGTTACATACATTAAAAGTAAAACATTACACGACTATTGCAGCACTTTTAATTTACTCTCACCAAGAACTGTTAAGATGCTGAACTTTGCGCCGTATATGGATGAACCAGGACAAACCAGATAAACCAGGTCTAAACCAGGTCTACCAGGATGAACCAGAACTAGTCACTAAACCAGGACTAAACAGTCTAAACCAGAACTGAAGCAGGACTAAACCAGAAAACCAGTAAACAGGACTAAACCAGGTCAACTAGACTAAACAGTGCAGGACTGAACCAGCTACAGAATTGAACCAGGTCTAAACCAGGAATAAACCAAGACTAAACCAGACTGAACCAGAACTGAACCAGGACTAAACCAAGACTACACCAGACCAAACCAGGACTAGAACTTGGAATCTAGGACCGCCCCTGAGAGAACCCCGAGTGCATCGGGCGTCAGCTGCGTTTATCTCGGTGGAGCGCACTTCTGCGTCGGTCCTTTCGCTCAGATCACGGTTTACGCGGGCGCACCTCCGGCGTTTCACCGCTGCTGATATCGCGGTGATTTTAGCAAATTTGTATGAAGAAAAACGAAAAACCCACCATTTCAATCCAGGTTAAAAAAGCATTGTGACGCGCGTTACTGACATATGTACAAGTAAAATAATACGCGCGGAGCAGCACGTCCTCATGTAGATTTCAGAAAATAGGATCCATCCTATTTTTTTGACGCTCTACACGAGCGTAGGCGCGTATCCCCGTCAAAATCACAGAGAGCATGGATCTATTGTTGTATTTGTGCATTTAATCAGCACATTGTGTCTGGGCAGTTTGTATCATGTGAAAGAGCCCAGATCCACTACACTGTTAATTAGTGCTTTGAAATTTACTTTTGAAATCCATGCGTTTGCCGTGGTCACTGTACAGAAGGTAAATACAAGCAGCTAAACGCGCCCAGTCAAGTTTGAACTTTCCCATTGACAGACACAAGAGCCCTGTACGTTCCGCTAAAGCTGCCGGTGGAGTCGCCTTCGCGTTGACACGCGGCTGTGGTTTCGCGAGGTGAAGTGCGAGCAGATCGTCACTCGTCAGGTGAAACAAACGACGTTTAACTGAACCCCAACAGTGACGTACGTCGTTCATCACACATAATTTGAACAAATTCACGTTCAAGTTCTTGATTTACAAAAGTGTTGCGTTCAGTTCAAAGTTCACTGAAAAATGAACGTGTTCAATGAACGCGTTCTTTTGAACTCGTTCATGCACAACACTGGTTCAGGGACAGTACGGACACACACAGACAAATGACTCCGTAGATAAATACTGATGTGGAGCCACATATTAGGACATTTATCTGTCTGTAAATTGGATTAAATGAACAGAATGTAGAGAGTCTAAGCTTTATAACGAGGTATAACATGCCCACGTGAAATATCGGCCCCTATCAGCAAGCATATCGGCCGATAGCCGATATGCCTAAAGTTGCCCATATCAGCCGATAATATCGGCCAACCGATATATCGGTCGGGCTCTACTTAATACAATATGAAAAGCAAAAACTAATGTCACATATTGTCTCCCAGTAAAAGCGTACATGTCAAGTATACAGCAGAGTAGAAGATGCATAAATAAACCATAATTTCATACACGTCATTAATCAGTTAAAAAGCAAAACTCCCAAATATATTTCTGGCTTGTGAAAATATATTTGAACCTTTACAGTGGTGTTATCAGGCACATTGGAGTAAAGCACTGTACTGAACCATGTCCAAACTACCACATTCTTGTCTACTTCTTACAAAGTGCCTAAGCTCTGCACATGTTTCTCTGTCCCTCCATTTATCATTCACACACATGTATCAGCTCCCAAAGCCAGTCCAAGATCTAAAATCAACAGGGACACTGCTTTTATTTACACTAATAGCCTCTTGGCATTACATTTTCCACTAAACATTGCAGGGGAGGCTTTTTTAATGAATTGCTTCACTTCGATTTCATGGTGGAAAGTAACAAAGTACAAACGTAAAAGTACATTACTTAAGTACAATGTTTAGGTATCTGTACTTTACTTAAGTACATTTTATAGTGGATACTTTTTACTTTTACTTCACTACATTTGAGAGCAGATATTTGTACTTTCTACTTCACTACAGTTTTAGATCTGGACTGAAAAGTAAAAGTATTTTTCGTTATAGTTTGAGACCTGCTGAAAAAGCTGAGACTTATTTTTAGCATATTTAATTTGCTTTATCATCCCGACTTTGGGTAAACCAACTACACAAAAACTTTAAGAAAAAATAAATAAATAAATAAATAAAACAATTTTACACATGTACTTTAATACTTTTACTTAAGTTATTTTTCATGTGATACTTTTACTTTTACTTGAGTAATTTTTGCCACTGTATCTGTACTTTTACTTAAGTAGCAAAATTCATTCACCACTGAAAACATTGTACTTGATAAAATACTAAAACAAAAATGAACAAAAGGAATTACTAACAGCCAGTAACCCTGAGCTGTCTCCTTCCTGTGTGTAGTCCCAGGCCCACAGCTCATTGGTCTTCCTGGTGTCCCTCCTGGGGAGTCTGGAGCACAGTTTTCATCACACTGTCCTGCAGGAGATCAGAGCTTTGAGTGACCGTTACCCCCTGCTGCTTGGAGGCTGCGGCAAAGACATCTACAGGATGAGCAACTCCTTCAATGCTATGGCCCGACTGCTGGGGAAGAGGCTGGAGGATAGCACTACCTTAACCTGCAGGTCAGAGCTCACCTCGGTCAGTAGACATGTGCTGGGCGTTGTACAATATTCAAATTTGGTGTCACGATTATCATGGCTATTATATCACAATAATTACTAAAGTTTCAGTTTTTATGCTTTTAATATTATGAATAAATTCCATATTTCAACAACTGTTATAGAATTATACTTTGTTATGAGTGAAAACAACAATGATCTAGAAGAAAACCTCAGGATAAGTGGCTTTTTTCTGCAGATTTTGTTAATACAAAGCCGCTTATCATGACAATTATATAAAATGCCCCACTAAGGGTTATTGCCTACCCTTTTTATCATGATGAATTATATTAAATTATATTATGACGTCCCATCCCTAGGTGTGCATTGCCTTGAGTCTGATGATACAATACAAATCATGATACGCTTATCACGATTTGATATGTCACAATATATCACAATAATAAAACAATGGATAATATTTTGTGATTTATGAATAATTACTTTTCATTGCTGGGTTTCAGATGACATTACAGCTTTCCATAGGCCAATAATATTTAATATACCACACTTTTTCATTTTTTTTACTGTTTACTGTTGACCAAAATGTATTTTAAACTTTTGATTCATGAAAGTGTCCATCTTTGGCAGATATAACAGCTGAACATACTCGTGGTTTGTTCTTTTTACAATAGAAATCAAATATTCTTCAGAAAGTTCTTCCCAAGTCTGTTGCAGAAGTTCCCATAAATGTGTGGCACTTATAGGTTTCTTGGCTTTCACTCTTCTGTCCAGTTCATCCCAAAACCAGCTCGATGGGGTTTAAGTCTGGAGACTGTGCTGGACACTCCATGTTTTCAAGCTTTCCATCTTGTTCTTTTTTCCTGAGGTAGTTTTGGCAAAGCTTGGACTTGTGTTTTGTTATCTTTTATCTTTTTTTAACCTCTGGCTGTTGAGTTCAATATCATTTCAAGCTGTTCATTGGACTTGCTCGACTTGAATTGCAATAAATAACTGGAAAAATTAGGGTCTTCAGAAACTTTTGACCAGTAGTGCACAGTTAAAGTAAATACAGCTAAAATGTAGGTTTTTGTTGGAATAAAGCAAGTCAATGGGTTTAATCACTGAAAATAGAAAAAAATTGTGTTTGTAAACTCTGGGGATATTTCATGACAAAATACAGTTATTAATAGGAAACTTTCCCCCCATCTGAGAGTATGACACCATCACTTTCTAGAATCTGAAAACCACCAGTAATACAGTCCAACTACACCTTCACAAGAACAAAACTGTATGAAACATGATTTATTAAATTTTTTCAATTGTGAGAACAGTGAATGTGACTTCTGGATTTTTGTGAACTATATTATTAAATGCTTTTTGAATCGATTTGAGAATTGTGCAATGAAGTGTCACTGAATTGATGTTTTCTTACACCCCTCGTGTTCAGTTCAAAAGTTCATTAGAGATTCAGTTTCCCTTTGAATCTAATGCAAATAGAAGATGCGTGCTATTAGACCTATGAAATGCAGTAACCTCGTCCCTCAACATATCATTACTCAAATATATGTTTGAGTTGGAAATTATCTGTAACAAATATATAAACAAACAGCAATCAAATTTGTCAGCTGTAATTACTTAAGCATCCAAAGGTGAAGTGCTTTGCTCCAAGACTTGAAACGCCTCATCTCACTTTTTCCAGGCTGAACAAAGAAGGCCAGTTGTTTCCTCGTGGCTCGTCTCCAGGACCGGGGCAGCGGCTGGAGATGGATGTCCATGGCTTTGGTGTTAAACTGGGGTCAGAGGTCACAGAGGGGGGAGACACGCCGGGGCCCCAGCGACGCTACAGCCTGAGCCAAGCGCTACGTGAGGAACGCCGTGAGATGAGATTTAACAGGTTTGAAATCTAACTGACCTTTGTAAGCTTGATTGACCCCCATCATTCAAATCCAGACTCAAAATCCATTTATTTTATCTAGCCTACCCCCCATTAATGCCCTGATGTTTTAGAACCTCTCCTGTTTTGTTTGATTGTTTTTAATTATGTGTCTTAATTGTTGTTTGCACAGTATCCTTAAGTGCACAAAAAGGCACCTTTAAATAAAATGCATTATTGTTATTATTATGAATTATAGTATTATCCACAATGATAGACTGGACCATTGTTTTTACCACATTTTATATTAACTAACTAGAGCTGTGTGTAGTCATTAAAGATCCAGCTTTTTCAGTTCAGATACTGATATCGATACTCTGACTTAAAAATCTCTGCCGATAACTGATACTACTGAAACTAACTGAAAATGGCACTTATTTCCTTAAAACACAGTGAATTTATTTCACAAGAGATCCAATGTTATGTAACTGTTTTTATCCTTCAAGTAATTACTGAACAGCTTTGTATGATTATAAGTTCAGATGTCCTTGGCCAAAATCAGACTTACCAACCAGGCCCAACCAGGATGAATCGATATCATGGAACTGATACCTGATCCAGCAAATCTTTCAGTATTGGTGCTGAAATCTGACCCCATTATCGGTATTGGTGTATCCCTTGTAGTCACGTATGCACTCATCACACTGTTTGTTCTTGGACAGATCAAAGAGCCTTGCCCTCCATGTTGTGCGCTCCCGCTCCATAAGCTCCGACACCGGAGAGGACGGCACTGACCCGGAGCTGCACCTGGACACTGTTTGTTTGTTAAGTTCAGACTCCGGAGCAGAAGCAGCTTTGAGCTCTGAGAACACAGCCACAGCCCATAACCAGGAGTCCCTAGAGTCTCCACAGTCTCCACAACCTCCACAGTCTCCAGAGGTAACTGAGGTAACCGAGGCAACAGGCAGAGACACGGGTGAGGCTGTGACAGGACCAAGCACAGAGGCTCCAAAAGATGAGCCGGAGAAAGACAGACTCTTCGTTCACCTAAGAGACAACATGGATGTCATCACAGAGTTCTGTGAAGACACCATGAAGAAGATCCCCATCCCAGAAGAGTGCATCATTGAAGGTGAAGACTCGCCTCTAAATGCCCTATCCCTCATTCCAAGTGGCTGTACCTGATTATTGGTCCAATGAGGTTCATTTGGTCTTCCGATAATTTATGTTATTAGGTTCTTTTTTCAGACCAAGAGTTTGTTTTCATACCTGATAGTTTTGACTGCTCACTAGCGGTCTTCCTCAGAGTGGTCACGTGATGTTACTGTGACATGTCTGGTCAGCTGATTTATACAGGTTTTGGCGCTGTCAGCTGACATCTGCAGCCCGACTTCCTCAGGACAGTATCCCAGGTGTGTGAGAGTGAAAAAGCCCCCACATTATGGACTGGGAAGGAGTGAACATCATCGGGACAGAGGAAAACAAACACTGTCGCTGGATTAAAGAGGCAGTTGTAATACGGAAACATGCCCATGGGATGATAAACCATGACGAGGGGGCTTGGGGACCAAGAAAACAAACTCTTGGTCTGAAAAAAGAGCCTGATAACATAAATGTACCTGATTACTGTCCCTGTAGATGAGCAAAATTGGTTCCAGTGCAGATATATTAGAAAAGCAGCTCTTGGGGTCAAAAAAGTCTGCTGCGTGCTGTCTGTATCTAATTATAAAACTAGTTGTGGTTAGCATTATCATGATGGCAAAACTCCCCTTCACCCTCTAAAAGTTGTGAGCTTATAAAGGCATTGTTGTGAATTATTAGATGCTAGGAATGCATTAGGGAAGTGAAGAATAACTTTGATCAGCTTCAGACCGTGCTACTTGAACTTTTTGTTTTTCACATTTTTAACATGGCCTTTAACGAGTTTTCAAACTTAAAAGTGTACCTTGAAACATTGATGAACTTATATTGTTATATTCACAACCAGATCTGTCCACAGGAATTTGGGGGCCTGGGTCAAAAAACTTTTGACCCAGGCCCCCTCTAATATAAATCTGTAGGAAGAGGGTCCAATTCTGGGCCTCTAAATTCCTTTGTCCCCACCCTGTAACAAGGCATTGTCATTAAAAGTGATATTTTAGAATTAAATTTACTTGCCTATTCAGAAGTTCAAGAGTTCAAATTAAAATCTAAATTTATTAGCTTTTTTAAACAACATAATCTGATTGCTTTTCATTTCCCTGATTTAGAAATGTGGCATGTTTATTTAAATGTGAGTTTAATAAGTGGAGCCTTATTTACATTTTCAATTAGTTTCACTGTATTCCGTGCCATTTAGTGCGCTGTATGACTGGAGATGATGGTTTTTAAATAATTCAAAGTGACTGATGTGGTGTAGAAGAAAAGTCTCTGTACATGGCTGCAGAGGTTTCACTTTCATAACATATTGCTGCTCATATAAATAGAGCAGATGGGACCGATCTGGTTTCGTAGCATGAGCCCTGTGCAGTCAGCCACGCCCAGTGAACGAACAAGCTCATTTATCTCACCACATTCACAATTACAACTCTCACAAGAGACCTTTGAGTGACAGAGGAGGATGTTATTGTTCTGCCTTTTGACCTCAACTTATTTGAGCTGAGAGCCTGTCCCACTTAGACTAAAACAATTCCTCTAACCTCTGGTAGCTTGTTCAACTGGAATCTTAATATAATAATAAAAATCCTATTCGTCTGCGTTATTAATTCAATTATAGCTTTGGGGTTGTATTTAAAATTATGTCCCACAATGATTCAACCTCAAGCACATGATAGCACCAATGGTCTCCAATGGTCTCACATGGATGATATCATCAAGCTGCTGGATGACCCTCACTTGAGCGTGCAGCGTGGTCTCCAGGGATATAGTTTACAAATAACAGAGCTCAAGGACTCGTTAGCTCACACGTTTGCACGTCAAAAGCTGTAGCATACTGCCTCTGAAAGGTTTATCAAGTCGCTTTTATGAGGACGCTAATACGACCCATCTAATCTAAATATACAATGTTTAAAGGTGCATTTTGTAACTTTTCTCCTGGAGGGTCCTATTAGGTCAAATTATTTTCTCCATGGAGATGTTGTTATTTGCTTTGTTGTTATTTGCTTAGTATGGGAATAAACCTTTCTATCTTCATGGAAACCAAACCAAACCAAGTTACAGACCTTGGAGATGCAACCCTGCTCACGGTGCATGTTTTTCTAGGTGTTTTTGATCCATTAAACCACCTGAAATTTAATAAATGTAAGGTAGAGTTTTAATGTCATAATGTGAAACATTCCAGACAAAGCAATGACATGTAGATAGAAACAAGCAAGTAACAGACCCCCAACCAACTTGCACAATGCACCTTTTAATTTAAATTTTTTTCAGAAAATAAAAAAAAAATGTCTTTACTTCACTGTGCATATTTGAGTGCATCATTAAACGGATTCATCTGTATTAAAACAAAATACAATGAAATACAAACTTGAATATTATATCGTATTATTTTGAATGTGGAGAAAAACCTTGGCAGAGCATGTGGAGTTTGTGGGAGACATTGGTGTCCTTGCATGCTAATCCCTGTGTGTTAGGGCTAAGGTTACCCAAGTCCATATGTGCATGGGGGAAAACACAGTGTCACAGATAAAGCTGAATATAATGGTGATTTGTAATGCAAGCCTGGCCTGTGTAACATTCGCTCTCTGCCTTGTGCAACAGATTCAAATCGAGGGTGCGTAGCCAAGTTGTCGTTCTCCTGCCCTCTGAAAGGTCACTACTGCCTGTACGCAAAGTCCTGCTTCAGCCTGACCAGCCGCCAGCCTCACCAGTGGATACACCTCATGCTGCTGAATCTACAGGTGAAACAAACTCAAAGACACCCAGTCATGGAAGAAGTACTCGATTTTGTTACTTAAAGGTGCATTGTACTAGCCAGGATGGTGCCACCTAGTGCCTCCACTCAATTTCATTTCTCTCCAGCGGCTATGTCAGGATTGGAAGAACCCCGGAAGTTGTAGACCACGCACCGGCCAATCAGTGAAGAGCTGTGAAGCCAAACGCAAGCGCCTGTCTGAGTCTCTTTTTGTGGTACAGCACAGCAGTAAACAAAGTGATTGAGAACAAAGAGAATGTTTGGTGAATTTTATCAACGGGCTTTATTGTCCTTCTTCCTACCTGATTTGGCGCATTACGTACGTCACGACCAAATAGCAACGATTGAATAAATTTTAAAAAAGTACCCACCTACCATCGAGCGAACGAATGTTAATGCTGTGAGGTCACACGGTTTCCAAGAAGTAACACGAGCTGATGAATCAGGCTTGCATTGTGCAGCTTTTCTGTCACCTGCTTGTCTCACTGGAGATGTTATTGCTTTACGTTGAATGTTCCATGGTATCACATTAAACACATCTATTTTTCTTCATTATGGGTGTTTCTATTGCTCAAAATTACAGTAATTCAGTGACTCACCTGTAATGTAGCCTATAGTTGTCTCCCTAGAGATAGATAGGTTTAATATCTACATTCTAGACAAAGCAATAACATCTCCATGAAGACAAGCAGGTGACAGAGCCTCCACCCGAAAAGTTGCACATTGCACCTTTAAGTAAAAGTACAGATACCGGAGCAAAAAAAAATACTCAAAGAAAAGTGTCTAAAATCTACTTAAGTAAAAGTATTAAGTACCTGTTTAAAAATGTACTTAAAGTGTAAAAAGTAAAAGTATTTCAAGCAGGTTTTGAGGTTTTATAAGGCTTCGAATGTAGTGATTTTGATAATGAATGAGTTCCGAATGAATAAGGAAAGTGAGGAATAACTTTGGACCACTGCAAACCGGTGAAGTAGTTGTGTTTTACACATTTTAAAAAAGTAAAAAAACAGGTACCACAGCTTTAAGATTAACATTAAAGATACACTTGTTATACCATCTTGTAGGGAATTTGTCCTCTCCATTTGACCCATGCTTCAATGCCGCTGGGAAAACCTGTCAGGAGCAATGGAACCCATCTCCAGATCTGGAGCGAGTCTTAGTCAGAACTATCTTAGCTGGATGATTTTACCTGTAGTGCATGTTTTGGATTAATGGAGGGGAAACCCACCCAAACACAAGGAAAATTATGTTCACGCTGCACAGAAAGGTCCAAGTAGTATGGGAATCAAACCACAAACCTTGCTCTGAGACAAGAGAGCTATTATGGTCTCATGCTCTGAATTGTAATGAATTGTTCTCTCTCCCTACATGTCTACTTAAGCCGTGAGGGACTACATAGTGCAGCCAAGGCAAATAGATTGTAATTGTTAAACACTTATCACACTTAATCTAAGGGTTGTTTTGTTTTTCTTTGTTTTTTGTTTTTTTCAGAGCATTTCGAGTGTTCCGCTGTGCTCCAAACATGAGTGTGTCCAGAGACTCGCGGCTCTTTGGGAGAAGACCAAACTGAAAGGAGCTCACAGCTTCACCCTGGCCATGACACAACACAGCACTCTGCACAGAAAGGTATGTCCCCTGTGTGTGTAGTACTACCACATGTACTCAGCGTAAATGCAAAACAGAAGTCATGATTTTAAATTTCATCCTCGTAAAGACTATGCTGACTAGAAATGGCATTTTTATATTCAAAATTATTGATATAATGAAATGTTAAATCGTTAGGTTTAATGTTTTGGAAATGTGTTTTAAGTATTAATGAGTAATAAAAACACCTGTAACTGAACAAATATCAGTCAGATACGTTTCGTGCCATGCTCTGGAACATTCAAGGTAAAGAAACTCCTCACAGAAAAAACTACGAGCACCTTTAAATGTTGACCTGACTTGTGAGACTTTAACTTTCAGCCATTAATAATAATAAAAATAATAATACTAATAATAATAGTCATAATAATAATACATTTTATTTATATTGCACTTTACATTTCAAGAAAGTCTCATAGTGCTGCAGCAGACAAAACTAACACCATACGACTTTTTGTTGCGTATCTCCCAAATTTATTTGTGGCATGAGGGGAACATGTGACTTCTGACATCTTGTTTATCCATGACATTTATGAATGTTTGTGTCTCTGTACTTCTCTGCGCGTGGGGAACGTTTTCCCCTCACTGGTCCTCTGTAATGTGACAAGCTAAGTGGTCTCTAGGAAATAATTAGAGCCACAAAGAAAATACAGCTGTAGTTTGTCGGGGTCTGAACGTGCTCTGGAGCTACAAGGAGATGCATGAACTACAGTTTCCACCTGGAGACTGAGCACAGCCTCTTACTCAGCCACATACACAATCATTTACACTCAGCATATGCGCATTCAGGGGAGAATAAAAAAAGTTACTTAGTGTTTCCTTTATGCGCTAAAGTAATTTGATCCTCACAGTTGCAGTTTTATACCTGATGTACGACACCGAATGCCCAGAGCTGTGTGACACTAAATGCTTCTAACTGGCTGTAAACCTTAGTTACCATCTTTATGAATGAGGCTCCAGCTCACTCCCTGATTTACTCTCTCTTGTCAAGGCTAAAGTAAACCTCCCGCTGCCCTGGCCTGCACAGATGGGACTCCTCACGGCAATTTTTTTACTACAACAACTCACTTTTGAATTTCTATTTATTTGAGTTTCTGCATTGGGCATTTTCTGTACCAGTCTGTTACACTGAGATTGTCCAAACATGTAAAGCACCAGGGAATGTCACTTCAGCAATTTGTTATTTTAAAAAGTAGATAGCATATATTTTGCTGTGACCTAAGGGTTAAGGAATGGTGCAGTACAAACCCAGTGCAGCGCAAGTGATCATATACTACTAAAGTCCTGTTCTATCTAAAATAAAATGAAAATGTTTGGATTATTGCCAGATCATACACAAACTGTTATATCCCACTTTGGTACTACTTTATAATAGCTACCTTTATTTTGTGTTAATAAAGTGTTAACAAAAACTGAATTCATAATTAACCAATTGTTTATTAAGACGGATTCAACCTCAGTAACTGTATGTAGCCCGCGCTCTTATACTGTTTTAAAAAAAGTACATACATACAAGTTTTTCTCATTCTCACTTGAATTTGATGATTTGAACATTGTGAAAAAGTTCAATATTGGAAAGTCATGGTGTCACACTTTAATCAGCTAATTAGCTCAAACACCTGCAAAGGTTCCTGAGCCAATAAATGGTCTCTCATTCTGGGTCAGTGGGCTGCAACAGTCATGGGGAAGGCTGCTGACTGGTCACATGTCACTGACATCCTCCACAAGGAGAAAGCCACAAAAGGTCATTCCTAAAGAAGCTGGTTAGAGTCCTAAAGGCATGAGTGGAAGAAAAAAATGAGGTAGGAAAAGGTGCACAGCAAAAGGGATGACTGCAGCCTTGAGAGGATTCTCCAACAAAATCCATTCAGGAATTTGGGGGAGCTTCACAGAGAGTGGACTGAGGCTGGAGTCGGTGCATCAAGTCCACTACACACAGACAAAGCCTGTATGGGACATGAGATGATGTCAGAAAAGTCTTACCTGGACTGTGGAAAAAAAAAGTCCTCTTTTCAGATGAAAGTTCATTTTGCATATCTTTCAAAATCAAAGTCCCAGAGTCTGGAGGAAGAGTGGGAAAGCACAGAATCTACATTGCTTGGAGTCCAGTGTTTCTGCAATCAGTGATGATTTGGGCTGGCATGTCATCTGCTGGTTTTGGTCCACTGTGTTTTCTGAAGTTCACAATCAATGCAGCCATCTACAGGGACATTTTACAGCACTTAATGCTTACAAGCTTACAAGCTTTATGGAGATACTGATTTCTTTTTCCAGCAGAACTTGGCACCTGCCCGCATAACCCAAGGCACCAAAAGCTGGTTCAATGACCACGGTGATTAACGATTGACTGTAGATGCCAGGGTTTATGTAGTGACCATTCAGATCAGAGTGAGTCCTTTTAGATTTAAACAAACTCGATTTTAACAATGAAACTGGAAACCAAAATAAGAGACTTGGGTGAGGCTCATTCTGCTTTCTGACTGGATAATCGTCTTGAGAACCAAAACGCATATAACATAAACAACCTGGCCATCATGTCCATTGTTTTTGTAATCAAGAATAAATCAGCATTAAAACTAATTAGGGCTTTAATTAAGCAGTTACTAAGCCTGATTCCTTTTTAATAAACTTACTTCAAATGTGTTCATTATGAATTTGTTCATGCTTGTAGTATTATAGTTACGCACACTTTCCTTCACTGATTAGTCATGGTATTTTTGAGAAGATCTGGTAATAAAAATTCTCTTTTTCAATTCTTTACAAAAATCCAAATGGGTCAGCATGTGTCTTTCATCCGCTCCCTGTAGATGCATTCTGTCTTTTGAACATGAAATCCCACATTGATCAGGAAATGAAAAACCGATGTTACAGAAAAAGGAAAAGGCAAAGCCGTTAAAAATATGACTCAACAGTTATCTGCGCTGGTCGTGTGATTTAAGAGGCTGTAAAGCTTTACTGGACTTCAGAAATGTAAAGGACTTAAGGCTGTCCACGTCTTTGTTTAGTGGTTTAATGGCAAACAGATTTTTTTACTGTAAATTGTGGTTGAGGTGAAGTGTAGAGTAAACCGAGAGAAACTAAACCTCTGTGGTGTCAGGAAAAGTTGAAAATAATTCGCCCTCATACTCTGTGTAGTGTCAACAATGACGGCTTTTGTTGATACAGTGGTGGACAAGATAGAATTTGAGAGAGAGTGCAAGGTTTTCTATTCACTTAATGATCTGGACTTAAAGATGCACTGTGTATATTTTACAGGGAACTGTAGCCTTCATGGAGGTGTTACTGCTTTGCCTGGAATGTTCCACACTATGGCATTAAACCTGTCTCTGTGGAGATAAATAAATGACCTAGGGATGCACGGAAATGAAAACTTGTGGCCAAAACCGAAACCGAATAAAAATTGAATGCATAGCTGAATACCGAAACCGAATATCAAATGGGTTTTTTAAGTTTTTAAAAATTTTGCATAAATAGCCTAGAATACATTTTTCTACATGTTTTTAAAAGAAAGTAAATGTTTATTTAATCTTCTTTAAATATTCCAGTAGCCTTTCCAAACTTAAGTGCATTAAGGTGGATAAATTCCCAACAAATGAATTATTATCCTGAATATTAATAAAAATATTTCCACACTGACTACATTTTAAAGTAAGTGCCAGATCACTGCGTCACTGCATGCTGTTTGATTGCATCATTTCCTCACATGCTACTATTCAGCCTTACTTTTAACTCAATCCTCCGAAAGCAGAATATGAAGAATAGTTGAATCAGCTGGATATAGTCGGTTGCTGAATATGCGGTGCATTCCTAAAATTACAGAGTCAAGTTGCAGGTCAGCTATGAGGCGACCCTGCTCACAGTAACAATGCATCTGGTTTCCAAGGAATTCAAGGTATTTTTGAGCAATAAAACTCCTGTAATTTAATAAATGCAGAGACGTAAGTTTATAGAGGAGTTATTATGCAGAATCGATTTGGAGCTTTTTACCATGTGCCATCAAAAACATGCCAGAAGAGGTTTTAGATGTCATCCATGCATGTTTGAGTATTTCAGCCTTATTCTAGCTGTCCTTTCGGTTAACTGTACGATTCTGTGCTATACTCCGTCCACAAGCCTACGTGACCCATGCTCCCACACAACATTTCTTTATAAATATACATGATATAAAACTGTATGCAGCAACTGGACAAACCTGATGCAATGTGCAATCGTTTCATTAGTGCTAATTGTGCTGTGATAGTGCTCTGTAGGGGGAGTGACTTAAAGGTTGTATGGAGGATTTTTTTTTTTTTTTTTGTTTCAAGTTGTCAATGATAGCATTATAGAGGTGCAGTAGCCTTGTAATTATGATGACCAAAAAAAAGAGAATAAAAATTCATCAACTCTGGACGTGGTGGGGCCAGCTAAACATTTGCCAATAGATAATAGATAACGACACTGCCTCGTTATCTGTTAGCTGACAGGCTGTCAATCAATCTCCCTACGTTTTCTAGCGTAACTGACTTGCCTGTGCGCGTGCCGCCGGTACGTACGTGGTTTACGTACGCCTGTCACGCAGTCCACAGACGCAAGCCGCACAGACGCTGTTTACTCCACCAACGCAACAGTTCTTAGCGGCTTTTTTTGACCTATATCTTCCTCGCAGTTAGCACAAAGTTTGTTGCAATGGCAGACAAGAATCCAGGAGCAGTTAGCCGCAAAAGAAAGTCCGTTTTTGAGGTCGCTGAAAGAAGAAGACAAGGGGAAAAGCAGCGAAGCCAAACTAAGGTGATTCTTATAGATTCATTCCAGCGATGGCGCGACTGAAGCAGACGCAGGGTCTAAAGACTGACGCATTGGTCGCCAAATTACTCCTGGACAGGTCACTTCTGCTTATTATGAAAATGTACTTTATTTCCAAGAGCTAGACAAAAGTTTTTCAGGACACGAAAGCGATATCCTATGTCTGAAAACGTAATTTTCAAGGCAAAGAAAGAGTCCGC